CTTGCCCACACAGCGCTCCTGCAGCCCCGGCAGGCACCCAGGACAGGCCGCCCGCCCTCGCCGCTGCTCCCCTCAGGTGCAGGCTGTCTACCTGCGGGCACCAGCAGGGCCGAGTCCCAGGGTGCCCCGTTCAGGGACACGGACACCCAGAGTGGTGGAGCACCCCCCACAGGGCCCCAGGAGGACAGGTGGGGGCACGCAGCTGCCCTGAGGTGGCCCTTCCGCTGCCCCCTAGGCCAGTGGCTTGGTTCCAAGGCCACCGCCCCACCGGTCCCTGCCCCTCCCGTAGCAAGGGCTGGAGGGGGTGGGCAGGAGCCTCAGTCACCCCGAGTGGGTCTCAGCCCAGCCAGCCGGGGTGGCCCTCGGGGTATGAGCGTCACGGGGCTCTGTCCTGCCTCCCAGGCCCTGGGCACTCCGCCCAGCGCACCTGCAGGAATGCGGGCGGAGGCGTGGCCCGCGTCCGGGAGGGGCCTGAGGGGCTGGCTGGGGAGCCTCCTATGACCCAGTCCTGCTCACCAGGGTCCCCTCCCAGACCCTTTCCTCAGTGCCAGCCTGGCCACCCCGTGCGTGGAGTTGGGGTCCGCGACACCCTTTGTCTCTGGGCCCGTGGACCCCGTTTTTCTCCCTCGGCTCTGTCTCCTCCCAGCCCGGTGGCCCAGTGGCCCAGAGGGTGTTGCCGGCAGCTGCTCTGCAAGCTGGCGGGGGACTGCCCAGCCTTCTGCTGGCCGCTGGGGGACGCGCCCCTTGGAGAACAATTGTGACCTCCCTGCCAGGGAGCCGCCCAAGCCTGGACAGGAAATGGGGCTGGGGGCCGGGGCGGGAGCAGAGCGGGGGTGGGGGGGGCGGGAGGAGGCCAGGGCCTGCTCAGCCCTTCAGCCTGGCTCTGTCCCCAGCGTCCAATCTCAGGCTGGAGTCTGGGGCCTCAGACCCAGCACCCCCAAGTTTCCTGTGTAAGTAGCTCCGGTGCACAAATTCTGCCTAGCCAAAAGGCAGAGCAGACACCCACACTTCTCCCTGCCCAGCACCTCCTCCTGGCCACAGCGCTTGCCTCTGCTCTCTGAGCTTCCCGTTGAACCAGCAGGGCCACTGCAGCCCCGCTGTCCCCCCTCTCTCCTCACTGGCATACCCTTTCAAAGTCTCCCGCCGTCAACATCCACATCTCGGGGCTTTGGAACATGTGTCTGCTGAGCTGGGGGGCAACAGGAAGGGTGTGCTGGCAGCTGTTCCCTGCCAGGCAGAGAGAAAAGCACCCCGTGGGGGGGGATTCCCAGCAGCCTCACTTGATACCTGGATCCAGCCATGCCTGAAGCCCCACCTCCTACTCCTGGCTCCCGCTGGCCGCCTCTGAAGCAGCCCATGTCTCTTTCACATACACTGGGTTTCTGGCACCTGTGACCTGGAGTCCGGACTGACCCTCTTGCCTGTGTGTTTTGGGCTAACGCGTGGGGAGTCCAGCCCCTCCTCACGGTGGCATCTTCCTCCAATAAAGAGGCTGGTGGTCTTTTGTTTTTCTCAGTTTGTTGAGAAACAGCCAACATGCACCACTGCACGCGTGTCAGATGTGCGCTGTGGCCGGGCACTGTCAGGCGGTGGCCTCAGCCGCTGTCTCTGCGTCACACTCTCACGCAGGTGCGGGGGGGGGGGGGAGAGGACCCTCCGGTGATGAGGGCCAGCAGGCCCGGGACGGCCTGCTGCTGTGCCCTGCCCCCTCCGCAGCATCACCCTGGCCCTTCCAGGCTGTAACTGAAGCTGCCCTTCCCCCACCTCTCGCTCCCGGGCGGCCTGGACCACCCGCTTTGCAATGAGGAGCTGCCACAGAGGAGTGAGGTCACGTAGCCTGACACACCCTTTGTCCACCTCACACAGCACTGAGCCTTCACTGCCCCTCGGGTGGCCCCTGCTGCCTGGTTGGAACCCGGTCCCCCTCCCCTGGCTCTTCCTGATTTTGTGGTGCCCCATATGACTAAGGGTGAGTGGCTACCAGGGCCACAGCCTTGGAGGTCAGCCCCAGGAGTGACCTGGGACCACGGGCTCCAGAGAGAAGGGCTCAGCCCAGCACACGGCTAGGGCCAGGTCCTTCGGGCCTGGTGGGGGGGGGAACTCATCTCCACTCAGCCTTGACCCTCCACCCTCTCCTGGGCTCTGAGTCCACCTGCCCGCTGCCCCGCACCCAGGTGGCCCCACACATGGACTCCCCATAAAGCTGCCCAGCCCCTCACCCAGACCCCCCCAGAAGACCCCACACCAGGGGTCTGGTGGGGGACAGACAGTCTTCTGGGGGTCTTTTGGGGGAGGACAGCCCCTTGTCAGGACGAGGGACTTTCTGGAACCCGGTGGACATTCAGTGAAAGTCAGCCAGGAGGAGGGGGGCCTCCCAAACCTTGGCCTGGTTCTCGCACAGAGCCTGGGGCAGCTAATTAGCGTTTCCGGATTACCTGCATTCTGCCCCTCCCGGGCGGCCTCTGTCCTCCCGGGCATGGGGGCAGGGGCCGGCTCCCTCCTCCTGGGAGTGGAAGGGAGGACAGGATGGTTGTGGTGGCAGGCCGCGGGAGGACAGGGAGCAGGTCAGGGCCAGCAGAGGCCACGCCCGTGGACTCCTCCAGGCCCGGCCCTCCCTGAGTGGGAAACCTGGGCTGCGCCCCGCAGGGAGACCCTCCGAAGCCAGCTGGAGGCCGGACCCCACTGTGGGTGCGGGTCACATGCTGGCTTCTTTGAATAATTCAGATTCAAAAGCCCTGCTTTCCTGGCAGGCCCTTCCCCGCTGGAGAGCAGATGGGCCGGGATCTGAATTATGCATTCGCCCCCCAGGCTTGGCTGCGGGCTGGCACCCTGCCAGATCTGGGCTGCCACCCCGCCCCCCTGGCCTTGGTGCTGGACTCTGGGCCACGGGCTGAGGCCCAGCCGTCTTATCTGCAGTGGGAGGGGTGTCGGCCAGAGCAGGAGGCTGTGGTGGGGCTCTGGGGCCACCAAAGGCGCTGAACCCTGATCTTTGCCCCAGCCAGGAGGAGACCAGGCAGTTGCTAGGAGCCCCAAACCTCAGAAGGCCTGGGCCTGAGGATGGAGGCAGGAGAGGGAGGGTTTCCGAGCTCCTTCAGCCCGCAGAAGGCTGAAGAGGGAGACTGGCCCTTGTGTCCAAGGGAGGCCCTGGCTAGAGGCCAGAAGGTTCCTGAGGGCTTGACAAAAGCTGTCCTGGGCCTAGGGCTGCGGCCTGGAGAGCCAGCAAGCTCATGGGGCTGCCAGGGGCCTGGCAGCCCAGGCCTGGCATGTGGAGGGGGCTCCGTCCTGCCCCATCCCTTCCCCATGCCCTTCAACTGTGCCCTGCACAGCCTGTCCGTAAACACGTAAAGGAGGAGCTCGGCCGTGGGGGCAGTTCTAGGGATGGCTCCGCTGCACCTTGCACCCCAATACCTCCACCCCCAGGGCAGGCAGCCACCAGGTGTGTCCTGGTGCGTGGCCCTGCCCTGAGGCCCCGCCCTGAGGCCCGGTGTAAGGCTCCGGGAGGCCCAGGGCCCTGTGGTCCAGTCACGCCTGCCGCCTTGGCCCCGGTGACATCTGGGGACTCGGGGTGGTAGGTGGGGATTCTGAGAGTCCCTCGCCTCCTGCTGACCCCAGCCAGAGGTCCTTGCAGACACCACAGCCCCTGCCCACAGCCCTGCCCTCCTGCGGCAGGCGGCCCCTCCCGCCTCCCCCCCCCTCGGTTCCTGCAGTCCCCAGTCCCTCGCAGGGCTGCTGAAGGCTTCCACAGACCCCCTGCCCTGTGGGGGTGTTTCTGAGCTGAGTCTGGGGGTCCTGGTCCACAGTGTCTGAGACCTGCCACGGCCCAGAACTCCCCTCCTTCCGGCCTCGTGCCCCGGGCCGCCCCCGAGGAGAGGCCGCCTGCAGAGTCCTTCCTTCTGACAGTGACAGCCCCGTCCGCCCCTCGCTAGGAATGCGGCCGGCTTCGCCCACACCCTCCCACCCTCCCACCCACAGGGAACCGTTTCTGAGGAGAGGAGGGCGGGGTGCCTCGCTGTCCAGCAGGTCTTCAGCAAAGGACAGCAGGAGGCCAGAGCCTGGGGTGGTCCAGGCAGTGACCCAGTGGGCGAGGTGCAGGGGCCACTTCCCCCAGGCCAACCCCGGTCGCCAGGGCAAAAGGCCAGCGTGGGGCCGGGACCCGCGAGTCTGAGCCGCAGAGCCCAGCGGCCTGGCCAGGGGTGCAGCAACTGCCCTGTGGAGGGGCCTGGGTCCTGGCCAGCGAGGGGCCGGTGCCTGCTGGGCCGTGCACCCCGGGGTCCAGCCGCGCACGCGGGCGGCCCTGCGCACCCGCAGACCCTGCCGCTCTGGGGGTCCCGGCTTCCGAGCACCCGCCCCTCTGGGAGGAGCCGGCTCTGGGGTTCCCCGCCGAGGTGGGGCCGGGCAGCGGGGCCCCGGCGCGGGGTCTGGAGGCCCGAGGACCGAGGGGTCTCGGTGTGGGCCCGGGGCCCCGCGCAGCTGGGGTGCGGGAAGAGGCGGGCTCGGGCCGGGTGTGGGGGCTCCGCCCACGAACACCCCCGAGGAGAGGGTTGGGGTGTCGCGCTGAAGGGCCCGCGGGCGGGGCGGGGCGGGCGGGGGCGCGGGTGGGGCCGCGTGGCTCCCGGGCGTCCCGGAGGGCTCCGGGACACGCGCCCGCGCCCCCGCGCCCCGCGGGGCCCCGCGCTCCGCGGCCGCGGGCGGCGCCTCCCCGGCCGGCCGGCCGGCCCCCGGGCGGCCCAGCGGGCGGGCGGGGCCGGCCCCGCGGCGGCCCCTTTAAGGCGCTCGCGCCCGCGCCGGGCCGGGGCGGCGGCGTGCGCGCTGACGCGGCGTGCGCGCTGACGCGGCGTGGGGTTTCCCGGGCTGCGGGCAGGGGCCGCCGCGCCCATCCCGATGGCTGGAGGCGTCTGAGGGGCGGACGGAGGCGGCGGCGCGAGCGCGGGCGGGAGCGGAGGGCGCCGCGGACCGGACGAGCGTCGCCGCCACCTGCCGCACCGCGCCCGCGCGACCCTCCCGGCGGCCGAGCGTGAGGCGGGGCCCGCGCGGCAGGAGGACGCGGCGCCGAGGTGAGGACGCGGCGGGCGCAGCCGACCCGCCGGCCGGACCCCCGCCCCGCGCCCCGGGGACACCGGGGCCCCCCCGCCCGCGCCCCCGCCCGCCCGCCGGGCCCGCCCGGCCCGCCCCGCCCCCACCGCCGCTCTTCCTGCCGCGGGGCCGGCGGGGCGCGGGCGGGGCGGGGGGCGGGGGCGCGCGGGGCGGGGGCGCGGGGGCCGCGGGGCGCGCGGGCGGGCGGCGGGCCGGGCCGCGCCGGGGGCGGCGGGGGCGCGCGGCGGGAATGAATGGGGCCCGCGGCGGGCGCCCCAAGATGGCGCGTCGCCGCCGCCTTTGTCCGCGCCGGGGGCGCCCCGGGCCGGGGCCGGCGGCGGGGCGGGCGGGGCGGGCGGGGCGGGCGGGGCCGGGGCCGCCGCGGCGGGGCCGGGCGCGGCCGGGGGGCGCCGGGGCCCGCGTGCTGCCCCCGCTGGGGGGCGCCGGCGCTCGCGGGGGGCGGCCTCCGGTGACCGCGCCGGCCCGCGGGGCGCCCCCCCGCCGCTCCCCGCGGGCCCGGTCGCCGGAGGCCGCGGCCGGCGGGGTCTGCGGGGACGCGGGGCGCCCGGGCGGCTCCTTCCGGCGGGCCGCGGGCGGGCGCGCGCGGCGGTTCCTCTTTTGCTTCCTCGTCCTCGTCCTCGTCCGGGGCGGCCGCCGGGAAGCGCCCGGGCCTCGGAGGACCAAGCGCCCGGGCCGAGTGGGCCGCCGCGGGCAGGGCCGGAGGCCGCCCTGGGGACGCGCCGAGGGTGCGGCCCGCGCCGGGAGCGCCGCGCCCGCCTCGCCCGCCGCTCCTGGGCGCGAGGTCGGGGGCAGCCGGGGGCGCGCTGGGCGGCCGCCCCTGCCCGGTGCCCACCCCGGGCCCGCGCCTGGGCGGCCCTGCGCCGCGGGAGGGCCGGGCCGCGCCTCCAGAGGGGAGCTGCCGCCGGGGCTGACCCGCGGCCGGGGCCTCGCGAGTGGTGCCGACTTTCAGCAGCCGCGTCCCCTCAGACGCGCCGGGCAGATGCCCCCCAGGAGAGGGGCGGGTCCCGCTGGCTGATGGGCGCCTCAGGCGCTGCTGGGGGGTTGCAGCACATTTCCCCTCGTTGGCGCTTGATCTCAAGAGAGACCCTGAGGCTCCCGGGGAGGCCGCGGAATAACCAGTTGCCCTTTGTTTTTTCTTGAATAGCGAAGCGTCTTCAAATCCTTTTCACGTGGCCGTCTTTGATTTTGCAGCTTGCATCGGCTCAGTGGTGACCCCGGCCCCTTGGGAGATGGACAGGCCTGCGAGGGGTCACTCTCTCTCGCTGGTCTCCGCACTGCCGCCGGGGGCTGGGGAGACGCCTCTCTGCACTCACCTGAGCGGTGCAGGGCGCTGGCTTGTCGGCTGCTAATTTTAACCAAAATGTAGATTTGGTCTTAGGCTGTAGTTTGGCAGTGACTGGAGACTCTTCGATGGGTTTCCTCTGTTGAAAGGATTTGGCTCGTGTCAGTCACTGAATTGGATTAAATTCTTGGATCCTCTGGCTTCCATCGCCCAGGCTTGACCACGTGGCGCGCCACGATATCTCGAAACCCCGTTCGGTGCAGGCTCGTGAGGCGTTGAACAAGGCGTTCTAGAATTTTTTAACTCTGGTGTTAATTCTGACTTGAGGTTTGCCTGCATCGCTGAGAGTGCTCAGAGCTGCCAGTGCAGTGGACTCAGCCGGTGTTTGGTTCCGTGAACGCAGCCCGGGACACAAACACCCGGGCGCCAGCGTGTGCGCAGAGGAGCCGCCACGGCAGGATGTGTGGTGTGATTAGAAGGAAGAAAGCAGTCCAGGCACACATGGCACTTATGTGTTTGCATGTGCTGTGTGCTGGTTTGTGTGTGTGTGTGTGTTGCACGCTGTGTGCATGTGTGCTGTTTGCGCGTGCGCTGTTTGCATCCACGTGTGCTGAGTGCACATGTGCCATGTTTGAACGTGCACTGTGTGGTGTGAGCATGTGTGCGCAACTACGCTGGGCGTGTGTGTGTGCACGCACGTACCCAGCACACGTGTCTGCACGCGTATGTGTGCTGTGTGCTTGCACGTACGTGTGTGCTGTCTGTGCGCGCATGCGTGGCTGGGGGGAGCGCGACAAGCCCACCGGGGAAGGTGGTGAGTCGCAGCAGGCGAGTCTCAGTCCACGCGTTTCCTCCCCTTTGGAAATGAGCCGCCTGCGGATGCCGTCCCTGCCCGGTGGTGGGTGCTGAGAGTGGGCGCCTCCGCCTCTGCCCTGCAGGCCGCTGGCAGCGCCGCACACTGGGCTGCCCGCTCCACAGGCCCCCACGCGAGCGAGGGCTTGAGTGACGCTGTTCCCTTGTTTGACCTCTGAAACTAAAACTCTGGGGCGGCCGTTCCGAGAGCCGCGCCAACCACATCAGGGTTCTCGGGGCAATCTCGATCTCAGATCGTCCAGTTGCGCCTCCTTGGCCACTGGTGTGGGTCGCCGCGATCCCGCAGCCACCTGCTCCACGCTCAGTAGCGCGGCTCCCTGGGGCTCGGCCAGGCGCGCGGGGCTTTGGCTGAGCGCGTCCTTGCGGGGTTGTGCGGGTCCGTCTGCGCGTCCCTGTCCGTGGCGCACGCTGCTGCGACCGGGAGGCTCCGGGCTGCCTGCCGTGCGTGGTGACGAGGCTGGAAGCCGTGGACCTTTCTGGTTAGATGTGCGCGCCAGAGGCCACTGCGGGCTCAGGAAACCAGAACACGCCAAGTTGTGAGGCCAGAGGTGGCCAGCGGCCGGGTACCCTCTTCTGCGGGAGGCGCCGGCCCTGCCAGGCGGACGTGGGCTGCTCCCTGCAGTGGGTTCGCGGTTCCCTCTCGGCGTTGCCTCGGGACATCGTCTTGTCGGGGACGGGGTGAAGGGGTGCGGGGCAGCGGCAGGCCAGGCAGCCCGCCCTCCCTTCCAGACCCGCCGCAGGTAGCCCGTCACTCAGCACCTCACTGTTGTCCATGTCGCCCCTCATTTTTCTCGGAAGACTTTCCCTTCCTGGCGTAACCCCCGATGATACGTCCGAACGCTGGTGGAATTGCTGTTCAGTTTTTGGGATTTTATACTCCCTTTATGACACTGATTATTGTGGGTTTTTTGTATGGAAGGGCTGGGGTGCAGGCCAGAGGGGCAGGGGGCGGGGGTGAGGGTACTCCCCAGAGACAGTGGGGAGCAGAACAGGCGGGTCCCCTGAAACACACTGCTGAGGGGCAGCGGGAGACAGGCAGGGTGTGCCGTGCCCTGCGGGTCAGCTCCCTGACTGGGGGACGCACTCAGGCCACGGCGGTGACAGCCTGAGACTGCCCCAGGCCACCGGGGGCCTGACTGGGGGGCTTCACGAGAGTGGATGCACTGGGGGTCTGGAGGCTGTTGTCCAGCTGTGGCAGGGCAGCTCTCTGGGGCCTGCGGGGCACCAGCCGCTCCTGGCTTCTGCCTTCACACGCTGCCCCCGGGGGTCTCTCTTCTTATTGAGGACACTGGTCGGTGGGGTGGGGCCACCCTCAGCCAGTCTGACCTCATTTTAGAGTAACTAATTATACCTGCGAAGACTCTTCCTCCCGTTGACGTTTAGGGCTTCCAAGCAGACCTGGATTGGGGGGGGACACTTTAGCCAGCCCACTTGGGCCCCTGGAGCTCCGCCTGTTCTCGCTGCGAGGAGCCCCGGGGCAGGCGGCGAGGGGGCCGCCTCCGGCTCGCTGGGCATCCGGGTCTCACAGAACCAAGTTCAGGGAGAGCTGCGCTTTTCTGGCCAGCATGGTGCTGGGGTGGGAAAGCATTTGGGGGTGTCCGTTCCATTCATCTGTGAGAGCCTCTGCTACGTTCAAGGCCAGGAGCGCCCCCATTCTGTTCTCCGCATGGTCAGCCACGCAGCCTCGTCCCCGGGCCACCCCAGCCCTGGCTCTCCTGCGGTCCTCTGCCCCGTTTCCCCCGCAGAGCCCCCGTGTGCCTGCCTCGGTCTCTGGCCGTTCTCGGTTGGGATTCCGGGCGTCCTCTGTTCTCGGGCTGTCGGGAATCGTGTCTGGGCCCGGGGGCCCCGGTGGCAGAGCGTGAGGCCCCTGCGACTTGCGTGTGGCGGAGCAGGCGTGGGCGCCGCGGCCAGAGCCCTGTGGCCGGAGCCCCGTGAGGTCTGGGCTTCTGGGCGGGCTTCCTGGGCGGGGAGAGTCCGACCCCTGGCGGGCTGCGGGGGCCTCCCGGGATGTGGCGGGGCCGAGCTGGGTGCACTGCCGGGCAAGGGGGGGGACACTGGGAAAGCGCTTAGTCCACATGTCACCGTCACGCCCCATTTCCATTTCCTCGAGGGCAGCACAGCCCCGTGTTCTAGCGGGGCAGGCAGCTGTCGGGCAGGCCGTGGGACGGCAGCCCTGGCCGACCGGTGGGGCGGGGGCGCGAGGCCTCCCTGAGGAGACGGCCGAGGGGGCGGAGCCAGGTGAGCTCCTGAGAGGCCGGGCGGCTGGCACTGCTGGCGCCTGGCACCAAGGAGCAAGGTGGCGCGGGCAGAGGCCAGAGAGGAGGCTGCAGACCCCGCCACAGGGAGCGCCATTGAAGAAAGTGTGTTTCGGGGCCACTCGGTGGCAAGTTTGGCTTTTTCCTCTTTGCAGCGGGAGGTGTCCGGCTGGCAGCGCGTGCACAGGGGCTTTGAAAGGTCGCCAGGAGCTGCCGGGTTGCGGGGCAGGAGGGCGCGGAGGGCACGCGCAGCTGGGCCGGCAGGGGGCCTGGGACGCGGTGGGCGGGCCCTGCACGCCCCGGTGCTGGGAGGCGGGTGGGCTGGGCCCGGAGTGCTGGGGGCGCCCAGGCGGACGAGGGAGTGGAACCCCGGTGCTGGGGAAGGGGAGACGCCCGTGTGGATTTGGCGTCGAGGGGTTTTGCGGTGAAGAGCCAGGCGGGCTCCTCGTGGGTGGGGTGGCGGGGAGCGGGCCCCTTAGACCCGCAGCTGCCTGCCGAGCTGCCTGATCCCCGGGGAGCCTCCGGGGAGCCCAAGGCGGAGTCCCCGCGGCCTTGTTAGACGCGCCCCTCCCACCCCCCTCCCACCCCTCCCGGCCTCCGGGGCGCCCGCCCGCCGCTCCCTGGGCCCTGGGGAGGACGCGCGGGAGGGGCAGGGGCGCCGTCGCTGCCCAGGGCCTGTCTCCTGCCGCCTCAGGTCGGCCTTTCCTGTCAGGCGGTCGCGCTGGCCCCAGAGCCGGTAGGAAATGGGCTTGCTTCCTGTCAGGGCCGCGGGTGGCCGCTTCTCGCGCTGCAGGGGCCGGGGCGCGGGCCTGGTCCGAGGGAGGAGCCTCGCGTTTGTCTTTGCGCCTGAGGCAGGTGCGGGCTCAGGGAGTCGGGGAGTCCCAGCGGCGGGACGTGGGCCGTCCGCTGGCTGCGCCCTGGGCCCGCGGGAAGGTGCCGGCGCCTGGGCTGCAGCACGCGCGTCCCCGGCCCAGCCTGCCAGGCCTCGCGACTTCCCGGCGAGGGCGTCGTCCTTGCGCACAGAAGAGCCCTGGCTGACGCGTTCAGCTTCTGGGGGGCTCGGGGGCCAGGAGCGCGGCGCACTGCGCTGTGTTTCTGGCGTCAGCCGTTTCCCAAGAGGTGTAGGCGCTGGTGTCCCGCTTCCCCGGCGCTGTGCTGGGCTGCCCGACTCTCACGCCGTCGCCGTCCCCAGCAGGGCCCGTGCTGTCCCGGGAGCGGCAGGACAGTCGGCGATTGGCGCTGACGCGCTTGACTTTCCCCACGTGCCCGCGCCGCCCGTCCCTTGGTGCTCCTGTGTGGAACGGTGGGGCCCGCGGGGCGGGGCAGGGGGGGCGCATTTGGGGAGAGCCATCCCTCCCCCTGGGCGAGGGGCCCTCCCTCCCTCGCGCCTCCTGGGTCAGGGAGTGGTGGACACCGTCATGTTGGGGTCTTGCCCCCTCGGGAGGGCCGGAGGAGCCTCTCCCCAGCGTCCTCGGGTGGGGCTCTGTGCCGCGCCCCCCTCTGCGACCGTGGCTTCCTTAGCGGGGGCCCTGTCCGCCGAGGGGCTGGGGGACGCAGGCTTGTCGGGTCCTGCCGTCCAAGGAGTAGAGGCGGGTCAGAGCCTGGGCTGGGGGGGCATCCGGCGCCTCTGACCATCCCCCTTCCTCCCGGCAGCGTCCTGCAGACACGGGCCACCCTGGCCCCCGGCTCTCGTGCCCACCTCCGCCGGCAGCACCGCTTTCTGGGCGCACCTGGCCCTGACCGGGGCTTGGAAACTGGGTGAGCGGCCCTCACCCTGCCGCGGCGTGGGGGGCTGTGCAGGCCTCGCGCCGGGCGGGCCCCCTCCCTCCCCCGCGGGCTCCGGGCTCTGGGTGAGAGGCACAGGTTTGTGGGGAGCGGGGCCGAGCCTCCAGCTGCCGCGTCTTGGGAGCGCGGCCTTTCCTTGACTGCGGGGGAACATGTCGCCTTTTAAAACCGTCTCTTGCTTCTTCGAGGCGGAAACACGCTTGTGCTTCTAGGATTTCTGCGGGAGAAAGGCACAGTCGGCGGCACCGAGGGCGCCTGGGGCGAGCGCCCGACCAGGCTCCGCGGCGGCTCGGGGCGGGTGAGGGGAAGGTCTCGCGATGGGGCGGCGCCTGAGTCCCCGCGGGAGGAGTATTTAAAGGCGCGCGGGGGCGGCAGGTGTCAGAGCTGTCCTTCAGAGAGCTAAATCCGGCGGGGAGGGGTGGGGGCAAGGAGGGGCGGGTGGGGGGTGGTGGGGGGCTCCCCTGTCCCCGTGGAGTGGAGAGGAGGGGGCGCTGGAGGTGGGTGGGAACGGGTGGCGGGCGCGGTGCGTGGACCGTTCGCTGGTCCTGTGGCCGCCAGCAGCACGGGCCCCCGAGCTGCAGGGAAGAGCGGCCGGACGTCGCTGCCGGGGTGGGTCTGGAGGGGCCGGAGGGACACGCGGGGAGGGCAGGATGCCGCCTGTCCCCACCTCGCTTCCAGGCGTCCGTCCCGGGGTGGGGCGCCCTGCCAGGGCCAGGAGCAGAGGCACGGGTGGTCTGTAAGCTGAACAGAACCCCCACCCCCCCAAAAAGCAGTGGAAGCCATGGAGAAGGCAGCCCGATCTCTGCTCGCTGCCGAGCGGGGCGGAGGAGGGTCTGGAGCCGGAGGGTGCGCGGGGGCCGAGTGTGGGCCAGACCCTGGGCTCCGTCCTTGGCCATCTCGGGGCCTGGGCAGAGGCCAGGGACAGCGGCCCTCTGGGGCCCGGGCTGCGCTGGAGTCCCAAGTCCACAGCAGGCCGTGAGCCTTTGGGGGCGCGGGGGGGGGGCGGTGTTCGTGCGGAATTAAGTGCCTGCTGGGGGAGCCGAAGGACAGAGGTGCCAGCACCTGAGCCCCCGCCCGGGCAGAGGACCGGGGACCCGCGCAAACCCAAGGCCCCGACTCACAAACTCAGCCTCTTGAGAGACTTAGCCCCGGCCTCAGCCACCGGGAAGGGAGCTCGGACTCGCGAAGCTGGGGTGCGGGTGCTCCCGGGGTGCCGTCCGGTCCCAGCGGTCCCGGCCAGCCGGAGGCGGCCAGAGTTGCTGAGGTTTGGCTCTGCCCCGACGGCCCTTTGTCTGGACACCTCCAGGGCCTGCGGACGTCTTCCTTGGGGGTCCCCTCCCCCGGCGGACTTCGAGGAACTGGAAGGTGCGGCTGGGGCGGGACTGCCGGTGCCTCCGACGGAGGGTCCCTGTGCCGCCGGTGCTGCGGCCCAGCAGCGTCCGTGTGGCGCCCCGGGACCCCGCAGCTCGAGCCCGCCCGGGCGAGGCTGAGGCCACTTTGCGTTTCCGTTCTGCCCGGGGCCTCCCTGCTCCTCTGTACCGGGGCCGTCGTGGGTGCTGGCCCCGCGTCTTGCCCTTCGCCTTAGGGCCCTGCCCCGCCGCCGGCAGGACAGTCGCGGGCTCTCGCGTCGCGGACAGCGCGACACCTCACCCTTGGGCTCGGCGGCCTGTCTCTGGCCAGCGCTCGCTGCGCCCCGTTCCCGCAGCCCCGGAGCGGCTCGTTCCCTGGGGGACGTCCTTCTCCCGGGAAGCCCGTCTCTTGGCTGGGACCACCGCCCCCCGCGCCTGGGAAGTGTCCTCGAGCGGCCGCTGGCCGAGACTGCCCCATGGCTGCCCTCGGCGTCGATGGCACCCTTGCCCGCGTCTGGTCAGCCCTGGGGGCCCGAAGGGGCGTCCTCCGCCCGTCGTCTCTGTGAAGAAAGACTTTGCCTTCTCTCTCCTCAGGCGCTCCGGGCGGTCGCCCGTGGGCGCGCCCCCTCCACAGCAGGCGTCTAGGCCGCACCCCTGAGCTCCACCGTCTGCTGTCCGCCCAGGGCCTGGGTGGTTCCTCGGCCGCACCAGCCCTGTCCTCTGCTCGGAACCGCGGGGCCCGGTGGGGCCCAGGCTCCAGGTCTCAGGGCCGTGCGTGCTGGTGCCGCAATGTGCCCCGCCCGGCGGCCCCGGAACGCCGGCCTCTGCGGGTCGCGAGGTGTCTGCGCCGCCGTGGAGACTCCCCCGCTCGCCCTCCGAGGGCTCAGCGTGCAGACATGGAACAGCCCGAGGCAGCAGTGCTGCGGGACTGGCCTGCGCCTGGGCGGGTCTGGGGTGCCGGCAGGGCCGCCCCTCGTGCCAGATGTGGCCACGGGTGCGCCGTCTGTGCTGTGCCGGGGCCTGACACCGCCATGCTCGCCCCGGCTGGGGTCTGCCCTGCGGGCTCGGGGGCTCAGCAGTTCTGGCCCGCCGCCGCCCCCCACGGCCCCCGGGCCCGCCCGCCGGCCTGGGCTGCGGGAAGGGGGTGCTGTTGGCACAGGCCCTGGGGGTCGGTCCGCGACGGGAGCGCGGCCCGGGCTGGCGCGGGGCCTCAGAAACAGCGTGTCTCGCTGCCCCTCGCCTGCCCGCTCGAGGGGCGGGGGGACGCCTAGAGCGCCTCCCTGGAGACAGGGATGTCACTCTCGCCCGCCGTTCAGTCCTGACTCCCGGCGGGCCTCGCCGGTGCCGGCATTTGTGTCCACAGTGCCTCGGGCTGCCGCTTCCCGGGCCGGCTCTCCCGCCCTGGCCTCTGTGGGCTTGGTGTTCCCTGAAACCGGTCTTTTGAGGGACCCGCTCGGCAGCCACCACCCCCTCCTTCCAGCACTCGCTCCGCCGCGGAAGGCGGCTCTGGCCCGGCCCGCCCAGCAAGGACCCCTGCCCTGGCTGTTCTGGGGCAGTGGGCGGCGTGGCCTCCTGCCCCGGGGGACGCAGCTGTGGCCGGTCACGTGGCTGCGGGCTTCGTGGGGCGCTGCCGGGCGTGTTTGGGCGTGTTTCTCCCCCCGCACCGTGCCTGCTGCAGGAGCCGGGCCTGTCCGCCGGCGGCCTCACCTGCCTGGCCGGCAGAGACGGGGTGGCGGCAGCGGCACCTGCGCAGGCCCCGAATGGCCTTTACTCGGGACGGACGCCGCACGCGCCTTTAATGCTCTCCGGTTTAGCGTTTCTGAGGGAGAGCCAGCGGCCAGTCTAGAAATGTCGATGCCGGGGCGCAGGCCTGCCGGTGGCGGGCGGGGCTCCCGGGAGCGCTCCGTCTTTCCACGCGGGGAGCGTGGAGACGTGCGTGGTTTCCTCACGGCCACCGCAGGTCTTGTGGGGATGCGGCCCTAAACACCCCAGGACTCCACGCGCTCCTCTCCCGCGGTTTCTGAGGGCCTGTGAAAAAGAAATTGAGACCAGGCTAATTCCCCGTTTTTCCACACTGGAAAACGAAGGCCTTGGTCACGCTCAGGGGCGCGCGGGAAATGGCCGTCGGGAGGTGGGTCACGGGCCCCTGGGAAGCGCCGGGTGCCAGCTTCTTGGCCATGGCACAGACACGGCCTCTCCTTGTTTCTTGCAGGCGGTTTTGCATGCGCTGGAGGCCAGACCGGAGCCCTTCGGAGCTAAGGTAATTTTGATGTAGCTGATCTTTGTCTGCGTTTAAACTACGAAGTTGGTTTCTTTTTTTTATTTTTTTAAGATTTATTTTATTCATACAAGAATCGGGGCACAGGCCAGAGGTGCGGGGGTTGAGGGGATTCACCAGAGACAGAGCAGGGAGCAGAAGAGGCAGACTGACGAAACACACTGCTGAGGGGAGCAGCAGACGAGACAGGAGAGGTCTGCGCGCCATGTGGTTTGTTTGCTCCGAGGCCGGCAGGGATCGAACCGGCGCTGCAGAGGCTGCGGACAGCTTCACAGCGCTGCACCCCACTGCCTGTGCCACCAGGGAGGCCCAAAGTTGGTATCTTAAGGGGTCGTTTTCCATTTTTTTTCCCCATGCATATGAGAACTGGGGCGGGGCCCAGAGGTGTGGGGCTCCCCAGAGACAGAGTGGGGAGCAGAACAGCGGATCGACTGAAATATACTGCTGAGGGCAGCAGCAGGGAGATAGGAGAGGTCTGCTGCGCCATGTGGGCAGCTCCCTGGCTGGGGATTGGACTCAGCTGCAGAGGCTGCGACAGCTTCATAGCGCTGAGACTAACTCCTGCGTCCCCAGGGAGGCCCTGGGGTCCTTTTCTAAATGGAGGTCCATGGGCCTCTCTGGTGGTGCAGGCGGTTGAGCGCAGCGCTGTGGAGCTGTCCGCAGCCTCTGCAGCGCGGGTTTGATCCCGGCCAGCCTGGGAGCTGCCCTCAGGGCGCAGCAGACCTCTCCGGTCTCCCCACTGCTCCCCTCAGCAGTGTGTGTCAGCGGATCCACCTGTTCTGTTCCCCACCTGTCTCTGGTGAGTCTTCGCCCTCCTGCACCTCTGGCCTGTACCCCGGTGCTTGTATGCATAAATATGTCTTAAAAAAAAAAATACATGGAGGTCCGCTGGCTTAGCGCCCGCCTGCGTCCCAAAGGGCTGCCTCCCACTGGCCCCTGGTCCGCTCAGGTTATGCCTAAAGCTGTGCTTGGGGCAGGCAGGTCCTCCGAGGGGCGTGTTCCTTCGCAGCTCCCGTCCTCACGTGGGGGCGAAGCCCGAGAGGCAAGGGTCTGCATTGCGGGCGTGAGGTGTTTTTTTTTAAAAGATGGTATTAGCGAGCTGTCGTTACAGAGCAACCTCAGCCCAGCGCACGGCCCTGCAGGACCAGGTGCTTGGGGGTGCAGCCTGCGGGGCGGCGAGGGTGTCGCTGGTCAGGGCTGCATGCCCGGTGCTGCTGCTGTCTCTCCCACAGCCCTGTGTCAGCATGACCGTAGGTGACTGAGTAGATGGAGCTACGCACTTAGCCCCTGGGCGTCTGCCTGAGGCCCAGCCGGCAGGAGCAGCGGCCCTGGAAGGGGGGGGGGCACAGTCTCCATACCTGACACCTTGGGTGCCTGTTGGGCCTCAGATGCTGCTCCTCAGACACGTGCCGCCACGGGGAGGTGCCCGCAGGCCACACGCCCGGCCCTGCTTGTCTCGGGTGCACCAGGGCTTCATGGGAGGATGCGGTGCCGCCCGGCTCGGGGCTGGCTCGCAGAGGGCAGCAGGAAGCTCCTGGGGTGGCGTTGGGCCATCTGTGTGTACTGTCCACTGGCCACCGCAGGTGACCACCTGGACAGGGACACGGCGGAGCCCAGTGACTGGCCTGGGAAGGTGGGCCTGGGCCCAGGAGCAGGGGCGAGGGTGCAGGCTGGGTTCTGTGGTCTGCATCCGGTGCCTGCTCGGCCACACCTCTGGGGGGGGTCCCCCTGCAGGACACATCTCCCTTTGGTGTCCTGACGTGTGTGTGCACGGGGCGGGCTGCTCCCCTAGCGTTTTCAGATTCAAAATGAGTGTTGTTAATTCTGGTCTCTCTGAAGCACAAAACACAGAAACCACCATTCCACACTTTAGCCCCAGGCCCGACCCAGGGGCTTGCCTCCGCAGGCAGTGCAGGCCCAGGGGCCAGGTCAGTCAGGGCCGCCGACCTGAGCTGGGGCTAGCCCATGGCTTGGTGTTCAGGGCCTGGCTGGGAGGCTGCCTGCCTTGGTTTGGGGTGTTCACAGCCTAGAACAGCGATGAGAGGCCAGGGGTTGAAGTTCAGGGGTGTGAGCCACTCAGTTTCTGGCTGCCAGAAATCAGGGTTCAGTTCTCTGGAGCAAAAGGGAGGGTCAAAGACCAGGGGTCCAATGCACTGACTGGGCTGGGCTGCTCCATGTTGATGCCCCACAGGCTTGGCCCAGGCTTCGGGGCGTCACGCAAGCAGCATCTGGGCTGCTGATGTTGGGGCCAAAGCCGAGGTTGGGGACCTCCTTGGGACTCCCTGAGGCTGACTCCCCCGCGGGTCCCTCCAGCCCCCTCCCCAGGCTCCACTTCCCACTGGGACCCTTGAAGTTGAGGGGACCTGGCCAGAGTCCTTGCGGACCAGGGCCCCTCGGGAAGGGCAGGTGCGGTGGGTGCAGTCCGGGGAGCTGTGGGCTGGCCACCGTAGCAGAGCCTTTGGCTTCACATGCCAGTGACCTGAAGTCAGTGTCCCCATAAGGTCAGTGGGTCCCCGCCTGGGGTCACCCTGCGGGGACACGTACACTCTGCCAGGGTCACCCTGCGGGTCACCCTTGATGCTCGGTGGGTCCTGGCATCTCGAGTCTCGTCTCTGCGCACATGTGCCTGTGGCGTATGTTTGCTTTCTTGAGGGTGACTGACTGTTGGCGTCGTCCTGAGGCTTTAAGAGGTGCTTCCTGGGGCTGAGCATTGAGAAGAAAGTCACCACCCTGGCCGCGATCAGTGCAGAAGGCAGACAGCCTCGTGCTGCCATCTCAGAGCTGCGCACTCAGCGTCGCAACGCAAACCCCACGAGAGACATTGGTGCTGGCGCAGAGTCTGGGCCCAGCACGGGGATACCTGTCTGGTTTCGGATCTCCGTGCTCAGACTTGCCGGGTGCTCGAACCCAGGGCCAGACTGGAGTCCACGCGGGGTTTGGGTTCCTGGCTCAGTCTGCAGAGCTGCCTGGTTACTAGCGGTTTTATCACTCGAAATCAGATTCCTAAGTCCCCGAGGCCGACGACTTAGTTGTCAGACGAATCTGGGACTTGCTGGGACTGACCTCTTCCCGCGAGCAGCAGCCGGTGGGCAGGGTGCCAGCCCTGGAAGGAGGCCCTGACATCGTCCCCTGCCCCCCGGCGCGGAGCCCAGGGCTCTGGTGCGGTCCTGGCAGGCCATGCGGGCCCCATGGCTTTAAAGGCGCTGATTTAGTGAGGGGTCATCTGTCTATGCAGACACCTGGAAATTTACAGTTTTTTTTTTTTTGAAGATTTATTTATGCGTACAAGTACTGGGGTGCAGGCCAGGGGTGTGGGGGATGAGAGGATTCACCAGAGACAGAGTGGGGAGCAGAACAGGCAGATCCACTGGAATTCACTGCTGAGGGAGAGAGAGAGGGGAGTGGGTCTGGGTCTGCACACCATGTGTGCAGGCTCCCTGCCGGCCTGGCCCGTGACTGCGTGCTTCAGTTGGTGCATTCTGCCCCATTGCCCCGAGGGAGGAGGCTGCCCGGACACCATTTCATAGAACCATCAGATTTCTGCCCAAAATTTACAGAATTTTTGCCACGTTTTGTTGGTAAGATTTATTTATTTGTGTATCCAAGAGCTGGGGTACAGGCCAGAGGTGGTAGGGGGTGAGAGTATTCACCAGAACAGAGGGAACAGAACAGGCAGACTGACTGAAGTACACTGCTGAGGGGAGCAGTGGGCAAGCCAGGACGGTTGTGGGTAGCTCCCTGGCCGGGGATCGAAGGCCACGCTGCAGAGGCTGCAGATTGCTCCATAGCGCCATGCTTTACCCCTTGTGCCACCAGGGAGGCTCCCTTGCCACTTTCCATCAAAAGAGGTCGTGGGCCTCCCCGGTAGCGCAGTGGGTTGAGTGCAGCGCTGTGGAGCTGTCCGCAGCCTCTGCAGTGCAGGTTCGATTCCCACCCGGCCAGGGAGATTCCCACGTGGTACGGCAGACCTCTCCTGTCTCGTCCGCTGCTCCCCTCAGCAGTGTCTTCGGTCCGTCTGCCTGTTCTGCTCCCCGCTCTGTCTGTGGTGAATCCTCTCACCCTCCCGCGCCTCTGGCCTGTACCCCAGATCTTGTGTGCATAAATAAATAAACGAAATCTTTAAAAAAAGAGAGAGGGCCTCCCCGGTGGTGCAGCGGTTGGGTGCTGGGTTGCGATGCTGCCGGCAGCCTCTGCAGCGCCAGTTTGATCCCCGGCTGCTCCCCGGGCACCGGAGGAGGGTCCCACATGGCGCGCAGACCCTCCTGCCCGCCCACTGCTCCCCTCAGCAGTGTCCTTCGGTCCTTCTGCCTGCTCTGCTCCCCGCTCTGGCTCTGGTGGATTCTCTCACCCTCCCGCGCTTCTGACTGTAGCCAGTGCTTGTATATTTAAATAAATAAATCTTTGAAAAAACAAAAAAATTAAAAAAAAATAAAAGAGAGAGAGAGAGATCATGGTGTTTTTCTACAATGGAATATTACTCAGCCCCCAAAAAGACAAACTCAGGCCATTTGCGGCAATGTGGATGAAGGGACGATGCTGGCCCCAGTCAGTCAGAAGGCGAAAGAGACATGTACACGCGGAGCAGAGAGAAACCAGACAGGCCAAGAAAAAGCCCAGACTCGCAGCTGACCAAAGGCCTGAGGCTTCCAGCAGGCGAGGGCAGAACACGGGTCTGTGGTGACGGGAGAGCTCTGGGGACCATAACGATGTAAGACCAAAATTTAATGAACAGAATAAGTCTTCTCTCTCTCCCTTCTTCCCTCCCTCCCTCCCGAGAGTGTTTTCAAGCAAAGCCCAGGACATCTGAGTCCATACTTGGTGCTTCCAGTGGCCGGACTCCTGCCACCTCCCGGGCCACGCGGGGCGTGGCGGTGCCGCTGCGACGCTGCGCCAGGGGAGCTGGACTCGGCAGGAGGCCCACCCGCCCGTCGCCCTCTTCTTGCTCCTTCCGGAGGGCGGCTGGGCCTCCCACCCTCTGGGCCTGCCGTTGGGTCTTGGGTGAACTGGGAGTTGGGAGTGAGAGGAGAGCCGCTGGGCCGGTTGGCTTCCACGCGCCGCCCGCCTCTCCTGTCCAGACACGGCTCCCTGCCTGCGGGGCCGGCCTCCCTGCCCCACGTGACCCAGATCTCGGTGGGCGGCCTGGCCCGGGAGGTCCCAGAGGGTGCCCCTGTGGGCAGCCGCAGGAGGCCTGCGAGCCCCGGCCCAGCCACCGCTCACTGGTCATGTGGGGGAGCCAGGAATTAGACTTTGGGGCGGTCGCCCCGTCTTGTAACAGGCACGCTGGGAGGTGGGGGTCCTCGCGGGAGCTGCGTGGGCTGCCGGGTGTCCGCCCAGGGCGCTGCTGCGCTGGTCATGGGGGTCGGCCCAAAGCGCCCAGAGTGGCCAGTGGGCTCTGTTTGAGCGCATCCTGAGACAGCGTCCCCCAGACAGACGTTCCAAGCAGAGGGGCAGGAGAGCAGCCTGAGCCCCAGAAGCCCCCCTTAGCGGGCGGGGCCGGCACCGAGTCAGCAGGGCAGGGCTTAGGCGGCTTTGCGCGGGAGCAGGAGCGGGGCGGCCCAGACCTGAGACCAGCGCTGCGGGCGGGGGAGGCGGACACAGAGCTCGGGGACCGTGCGAGTGGGCTTCCAGGTACGAACTCAGTGACGCCTGGAAGAGAAGGGAGCTGTTGCTGGGAGTTCTGACAGAAATGCTGCTCGTCTATTGATCTTTCATGTCTTTTTTTTTGAAGACTGATTTGTATATGCACACAAGAGCTGGGGTGCAGGCCAGAGGTGCGGGGGTGAGAGGACTCACCAGAGCGGGGACCAGAACAGGCAGACTGACTGAAACCCGCTGCTGAGGGGAGCAGCGGGGAGACGGGAGAGGTCTGCTGCGCCCTGTGGGCAGCTCCCTGGCTGGGGGCCGAACTCGTGCTGCAGAGGCTGCGGACAGCTTCATAGATTGTCTTAACCCCTTGCGCCACCAGGGAGGCCTCAGGTGTCTTTTTAAACCCTAAGTATGTTTTTTTTTCTAAACAGCTAAATTATTACACCCAGGTGGGTTGCTTATTTAATGTTGCTTATTTAATGTTGCTTATTTAACGGCTTTTTATGCCGTCTTCTGCCGACATGTCAGTGATTCAGCCGGGGAAGCGTTCGCGGTATGTTTACTTCTCTACAAGTGAAAGGGGTGCAGGAGAGAAGGCAGGTGCTTGTCGGTTCCGGGAAGGCCAGAGACGCTAATAGCTGTTGGGAAAAGCACACGGCAGCGGCCGCCCGCTACTCCCCCGGCCTCCAGAAAGGCTGCGCCCCGCCCGCCTGTGGCGTGTGTCTTCAGAAGGGCGTTGGGGGTGCACGTCCCCCGTTTGTGGGCTCCGAACACTTTCCGCTCCCGCGGCGCCGTGTGTGCGAGGGCGTGGCCGGGCGCGCGCACCGCGCTCCTCCCTGCGCTGCTTCCGTGTCAGGCCGGGCTGCGCTGCCTGCGGCGGCGGAGAACCCAAGCGCGGCTCCGGGAGGCCACGTCAGGGAGAGGCCGCCTGCGGGCACACCGCGCATCAGGATGCGCCTGTGCCTCGGGGGCTGGAGGGTGTAAACACTTGTCCCGCCTCGTGGTGAGTTTGTTTCTCACCAAGCTGTGTGGATCGAGTAGGGGCCTACAGCAATTTCTGTTGCCAGTGGAAACAAGAAAAGCCTTTTTCTGTCTTAAACGTGGGTTTGGAGACCTTCCTGTGACTCAGATGTGGGCACCGCCCTGCGGGAGGAGCTGCCCCGGAGGGCGTCGTCCCCTTCGCGGTGCAGGGGCCAGCCAGCGCGGAGCTGCCGTGCCAGCTGCCACTCACGGCGGGAGAGACGGGGCAGCGCCGAGTCCAGTGTCGTGAGGCTCCAGCTGGCCATGGCCGAGCGGCTGGGCCCTGGGGTGGCTTCTGAGTGTCCACGCTGCGCCTGGGTGGTGCCTGGGCACTGGCACGTGGGCTGACTGCTGCCTCGCACGGTGGAAGGCCCTGCGGTCAGGGCCGGGACACGGCCTGGGGGCAGCCCCGGGTCTCACTCCCTGGCTAAGCGGGCTGGTGTCCCCTGGCTCTGTCCTCAGGAGACGGGGGCGGGGGTTGCCCGGAGTGTGGCCTGCCTGGACCTGGGAGGCGCTGACTCTCGGAGACCCCTGGACCCGAGGCCCGCTGGATCCTGCACATGCTGTCCACGCCCTGCCGTCCTGGGCTTTCCAGCAGGAGCATTTCTGTGTGCCGGTCTGGGGTGCTCAGGACACCCTGGCCCTTCTTGAAAAGCGCCTGGACCTCACCTCCTCCCCAGGCCCGGCCTCCTGCGTGGGCTGCCCGCGCCGCCCCTGTGCAGGGCTGTGGGGATGGGAGAGCCCCGGGCCGCCGCCCGCAGGAGCCAGCTTCTGAGTCCTGGCGAGCTGAGAAGGCGTCAGGCTGCTGGAGCCGCCGCCCCCCACCATCGCCCGCCGGCCCTGCAGCTCACCTGCTCCTGTGTTCCTTTCCAGACCCAGGTGCTGGGCGCACCGGCAGCACTAAGGCGGGAAGATGAGTGAGCTGGACCAGCTCCGCCAGGAGGCCGAGCAGCTGAAGAACCAGATCCGCGTACGTAGCCCACGTCGTCGGGCCCCAGGGTGGGGTCGCGGGGCTGAGACCGAGGGCCCATGGGGTCTGGCCGCCGTGCTCGGTCAGGGCTGCTCCCCGGGTCATCACTTGAACAGACACAGGGTGTCCCCACAGCTCTGTCGGCCCTCTGCGCTTTTCTCGGCCTTGGAAACCGGCCTCGCAACACCCTTGTGGCAGCCGCCAGGAGTGTGGCTGGTGCCCCTTCCCAGGACGCTCGGGGCAGGAGACATCTTTGTTTGTTTGTTTGTTTCTATTTAAAGAGCAGGTTTATTAGATAAGGGGGTGGCAGAGTAAAAGACACTTGGGTAGACGCCAGCGGGCAGGAGGAGCTGCCCCGACTGGGACAGGTTTGCTGAGAGGCCGGCGTGGTCGCAGGAGACGTCTTAAAAGTCGCGTAGCCCTGGCGTGGAGCGCCTTCTGGTTTCTGGGCGGGCGTTGACCCGCCTGGGGCTGGCGTGGCTGGTGGGGACGGGATGAGAGCAACGCCTAGAGCCCCAGGCTGTCCCGTCCCGGTGTCCGACCCCGGCCCTGGGTGCTGCTGGGAAGCGGGGCGGGGCTGGGGCTTGTCCGCTGGCCGGTCGGCGAGGCTCTGGTGACCCTCTGCACACCTGGCAGGGGCGGCCTCTGTTCGCACTGCTCTCTGGCTGCGCTGCCCCCAGCACTCTTCTGACACCCCATGTTTTCTGAGTTCACTCTAAGGACAGAACCTGATTATCTCCTCCTAGACGACCCGCTCTCTGCTCCCAGGGCCCAGGGAGGGCGAGAGGCAGCCTCGATTCATTTCAGCCAACTTTTCCTTGGGCTTGAGAACAGGCAGTGGAAGTAGCTGCCATCTGCAGCCACGCGGAGATGGGGATGTGGTTTTTGCTGGGAGGTTTCCAGGCGTCGCGTTCCAGCTCTGATGCGTAGCTCAGCGCGAGCCAGGAGGCGGCTGCTTGCCCTGCTGGGCTGGGCCGTGGGCCTCCACTGTTTGCGGAGCTGGGGCCTTCTTTTCCCCACACCTGTGAGTCGTCTGGAAGTCAGGGTCTGCGCACACAGATTGAGACAGCGCGCGGCCTGGAGAGACTGCCCCTCAACGGGGCGGGGCCCTGTGGGAGGCCAGGCCAGCAGGCACGTCAGGCCCTCGAGCCCTCCCCACTGGCCCCTGCCTCACAGCTGGCACACTGATGTGCGGTGGGCATCCAGGAGCCCCGACACCTGGTGTTGGCCCTGTGTTGTGCTGCCCCGTCCCCCTGCCTTCCCTGCCCCTCTCAACTGGCTGGGTCGGGCCGCACGGCGTGGGGTTGTCGGGCCACTGGCCCGCAGCAGCCACAGGCCCCGGGATGACCTGCCTGAGGAGCAGAGGCTTGCTGTAGAACCGGGGTCCTGTCACCCAAGGCAGAGAGACCCCGGGGTGGTTTTGTCCTGCTTGGGGTTCGCTTCCGAGGGGGTGCTCAGGGCACTGGCAAGGCAGGCTCGGCTCAGGCCATGCGGGGCAGGAGGCTGGGCCTGTGGTGGCTGCTCTGAGGAGGGGCGGGGTGACCCGGAGGGGTGGCGTGGGGCCTGGGTCTCGGGACGCTTGAAATAACAGGCTGCGCGGCAGCCGCCCTGAGAGCAGGTGGGCAGCAACCACGCGTTGAGGGTGTTTCCTTCCAGAAACCGCCGTGACCCCCTGGAGTCGCCCCACTCGGGCCCCGTAGAGCTTTGTCTCATCTCCCTTCACAATGTGCTGAGGCTCCAAGTTTATTTTCTCTCCACCTTGGCCATTCCGGGAGATGAAAATGCTTCAGTCAGCTGCGGCCCTTTCGAGGCTGCTGCCCCTGCGCGTGGCTGGGCGGGCACAGTGATGCTCCCAGGGCCTGAGGCAGCCCGGCGACCACTTGGAAACAGCCCTTGGCTGGCACCACGTGGAAGAAAAGTCCCTTGGGGTGATGTCCAGCTCAGCAGAGGCTCCCTCTCCCTCTGGCCCTGGTGACCGGGAGGCGCGCCTGCCCGGACCCGCAGCTTGCGCAGCTTGCGCAGCTCAGAGTTGGGCTCCCGGTCCTGGGTGCGGGCGGGGGCATGACTCACCTCTGCTCTCTGTCCCCAGGATGCGAGGAAGGCCTGCGCGGATGCCACGCTCTCCCAGGTGAGCCGGCGGGCCTCTGGGGGCGGCTCTGACCTTGTCCGCCTCTGCCCGGAGGCTGTCCCCTAGAAAGCCTTCTGGTGTGGGGCGTCGCGCTCTGAGGTGGAAAACAGCCCCGCTTCAGGGCTCTCGCACGGCCCGTCCCCGCCGTTAGAGTCGTAAAGCATCTCAGTCTCGGTTTCTCAGGCGAAACCTGCCTCAGAACTGCGGCTCTGCAGTCCAGTCTGTGGCTCCTTAAAAAATCCAGCGGAAATAGCAGCTCGGTGGTTTTGCTCCTGGAGACTCACCCGGAAGATTGGAAACTGGTGCCGGGGGAGGTTCACGTACACACGTGTCCGCAGCGGCACCGTGTGCTGGGGGACAGACGGGGCGGCGGCCCCTCCCGGTGGCCCCTGGGTACACACCCAGCGTGGGCGGGTGGTGGGGGCGGGGGTGCCAGGCCCGGAGTGTTCCCAGGGCCGGCCCCAGCAGCCCGGTGCCTGCCGCCTGCTGGTCTGTGCACTGAAATGGCGAAGATCGGCGTCTCCGTGTAAAGCATTGAGCGGAGCCGTGCAAGGAAGCTCGTTCTCGTGCTCGTCCTGGCAGCAGTGGGCCCTGCAGGCGCCTCGCTGGCTGTGCCGTGCGGAGCAGGTGCTCCTGGCGTCGGGCCGCTGTGGCCAGCCGGGCAGGGACGGTGGGCCGCACGTGGGCCCTGAGCTGGGAGAGCGGCCCGTGGGGGGAGCAGGCTGGGCCTGCACACGAAGCGCTGACGTGCAGCCTCTCTGCCCAGATCACCAACAGCGTTGACCCGGTGGGGAGGATCCAGATGCGCACCCGGAGGACGCTGCGGGGGCACCTGGCCAAGATCTACGCCATGCACTGGGGCACCGACTCCAGGTGGGTGTGGGCGCGTCAGGCCTGCTGTGCTGCAGGGCGGGAGCCTGAACCCGCTGCTGTGGTTTGTGAAGGAAAAATGGGAAGTTTCGGGTGACGTGTGCAGCCTTGGCGCGGCCACCGCAGCCCCGCCCAGCTGTCTGTCAGGCTGGCTGACCCCCTGACCTGTGGGCGGCAGGTGTCCAGAGCAGGTGTGAGGTCACAGGCAGGCCCCCCCAGTCCTCCCGGCCCCTGTGTGAGGATCAGGCCCCTGCGGGGCCAGGTGGGAGCTGTGCTTGGAACGCGGGGCCGGGAGGGGGCCAGGCTGGCTTTCTTGGTCGGGTGGTGGGTACGGGGCGAGGGTCTCACAACTGCTCTCAGTCCTTCCTGCTGGCTCCAGCCCCGCCCTTTGCCCCAGCCTGGGGTCAGGCGCCCTCCTGCCCGGGCAGCGCTGGGAGGCGCCGTGCTGGCTCCTGCCTGGTGCCCTCAGACACGTGAGCAGGTGCCCCCCAGGCCTGTCTGCCCACTCGCCTTGGATCTGCCTTCCCAGTTGGTCCCACACTAACTGTGCCCTCGCCCGGCCTCTTTCCTTGGGCGGCTCCTCGCCCCTCACCTGCAGCTGGAGGTGAGGAGACGTCTGCCTGGTGCGCTCTGCCTCGGAGCGGGTGCAGGACAGTCCGTCTCGCCTACCTTTGCCACCCAGGTCCTTGGGTGCAGGGGGTGAGGCGGGGGCGCTGGCCTGCAGATGTCATATGCTCTGCGGACGACTGCCTCTGTAGTTCTGTGTTTGCCAGAGAGGAGTTTTCTGCTTGCTTTTCTCTTTGTTCGTCAAATTATCTGCGTCAGAGCGGGCGCAGCGACAGAACAAAAGCTTCTATCTTTAGCTGGTTCTCCGCGGCATCCCTTCCGCTCCCAGTGCAGGTGAGAGCCTCGGATTACCGTGGCCGGGGCCAACGCTGCGAAAGGAAGGGGGGAAGAGGCAGGCCCTCGCCAGCCAGGGACCAGAGCGCTGTCCCCTTTGGCTCTCCCTCCGCCCGGGGCCTTGTCCTGAGTGGACAGGGCGTTTGGTTGGACAACCCTGCTGTGGTGCCTGGCAGGGCCGGGCGTTCCCTGGGCCCCGGGGAAACTGGGGACTACAGACCAGCGTGGGCGGCAGGTGTCCAGAGCAGGTGTGAGGTCACAGGCAGGCCCCACCAGTCCTCCCGGCCCCTGTGTGAGGATCAGGCCCCTGCGGGGTCAGGTGGGAGCTGTGCTTGGAACGTGGGGCCGGGAGGGGGCCGGGCTGGCTTTCTTGGCCGGGTGGTGGGTACGGGGCGAGGGTCTTAACAACTGCTTTCGGGCCATCGCATGCCCTGAAGCCCCCCTGGGGCTCCTCGCTGTGGCCGGGGAGGAAGCGGGCCCGTAGTGCGTCCGCCTCGCCGCATCCGTCTCCTGCCTCATGAGCAAAGACATCTCCAGGGCTTCCTCATGACACAGACCGTGTGGATGCCAGGTCCCCTGTCGTGGGGGCCACAGTATGTGCACCCCGGCAGGAGTGAGTGTGCGTCACGTCACAGAGTAGGTCGGCCTGGGTGTCGTCCTGCCAGGCGCCTCTGCACCCTACTCTGTCCAGATGCTGGAGAACCTCGCTTGGGCACGTGGGCTTGTGGTGACTCCCTTCTCTGAAGTCTGCAGAAGGGCCTTGCTGTGAAGAGAGCCGGCGCAGCTGCCTGCAGGCCCGCAAGGGGGGAGGGGAGGGAGCTTTGGCCTTGACCTGCGTCCTCAGTCCGCGCTCTGGGCTTCCTTCTCGGCTCGGGCCTCTGCTTGGGCCACCCCTGATTGCCTGTGACTGCTGCTGCCGAGAGGCCAGGCAGGGATTAGGCTACGCGTCCCCATTCACCTTCTGGGGATCAGCAGACGCTGATGTCCGCAGACTTAAGCCCTCTGACCAGGCACCTGCCCCAGAGGTCATGCGCTGGGGACATTGTGCTGCCGCGGCCACTCGGGGGAGCCAGACAGGGCAGGCAGCCAGTGGGCCAAGGGCTGCTGAGGGCCTTGCGGCTGGCACTGGACCTAGACCGGACTGCTCTTGGAAGATGCGTCTGGAGCTCGGCATGGAGATGCCCGCCCTTAGCGCAGGAAGGGTCGGTCCTAGCCCTGTATTACTTGGCTGTGGCCAGGGCGGCAGGGGGTGGGCATCTCCCTGCTTCTGACTGGTTGCGAGGCTGGGCCCAGGGCTATGGCCTAGGCGGTCAGGCCCCATGTGTTCTGGTGAGATCTTAACACAGAAACCACACTTGGCCACCGTGATGCGTCCACGCTGGGCCAGGGGTGGAGCCCCCCCGACCCCGCCACCTCCTTGCCGGGCCTGTCCTTCCGTGGTGGGGACGGACACCCCTACGTCGGCTCCGGCAGGGCATCCTGCGGGCGGACGGCCACACACTAAGTGCTTCCTCTCCCGTTGGCTCCTGCGCTGTCTCAGGTTGGATTTACGACAGACAGACACCACACAGGGCCTTCCAGGAAGTCTGCCCCCGGGGCTGAGGGTAGCTCATTGCCCCTTCTGCGTTTGGAAGATGAGCTCTTTTGACTTGAACCGGGGGGGGGGGGGGGGGGGGAGCTTTGAGGCTCCTAAACAGGGCTGGCGCCAGGAGCCCCTGCTGGGAGCGGGACGCGGCCACATGCGGGGCGTGCTGGCGGCCCCGGCGCCGTCTCTGGGCTCCGGCGAGCTTGCATTCATCTTCGCCCCCAGGCTTCTGGTCAGCGCCTCCCAGGATGGCAAGCTGATCATCTGGGACAGCTACACCACCAACAAGGTAAGCGCCGCACGCAAGCGGGCTGTTCTGGAGTAACGCTGGGCTCCGTCTGTGCACTGAGGGCCGAAGGCCAGATGTCCCAGGGGCTGGGGGCGGGTGGGGGGCGGGTCTGGCCTGGGCGTGCTGCAGCTCCCCGTCCTGCAGGTGCACGCCATCCCGCTGCGCTCGTCCTGGGTCATGACCTGCGCGTACGCCCCCTCGGGGAACTACGTGGCCTGCGGCGGCCTGGACAACATCTGCTCCATCTACAACCTGAAGACCCGCGAAGGCAATGTGCGTGTGAGCCGCGAGCTAGCTGGGCACACAGGTAGGTGCTCGCGGGGGCCGCACCCCCCCAGTGCTTGTTTCTGGAGGCCGGTTGTGGCATGGCCAGGAACATTCTGGAAACGGGGGCCAGGACAGGCTCTGTGTGTGTGGCTGTCGGTGTGGTTGCCCAGGGTCTCAGGACATTGGCCCTACCCTACCAGGAGCAGCCTCCGCCCCGTGCCTTTGCGCACGTGGTCAGTCTATGTCTTCCAAGCCTCCTCCCTGCCGAGGGCCTTTGCCCAAGGGGCTCGGCCCCATCTCATGCGCACCTGCGGGCGCTGTCCTCTGGCGCAGCCATCCCCCAAGGGTTTGCCACCTCCCCTTTCCCTTGACGACGCCCGCTCACAGCAGGAGGCCGGGAGCGTCTGGAAGGTGCCATGTGCTGCAGCTGCCCGCCCGACCCCTCCCTCGGCATCGCCAGGGACCCTGCCCGAAGGCGGCTCTGGCCAGCCCCGCTGTCCTTGCTTGTAGCGACGCTCCTGTGTCTCACTGACTTCCTCCTCCTCGTTCGGAGCCGCTTCTGCTCCATGTTCTGGCTTTTTTTTTTTTTTTTGTAAGATTTATTTATTTATGCTACAAGAGCTGGGGTGCAGGCCAGAGGTGCGGGGGTGGGGTGAGAGGATTCACCAGAGACAGAGTGGGGAACAGAACAGGCAGACTGACTGAAATCCACTGCTGAGGGGAGCAGTGGGGAGACGGGAGAGGTTTGCTGCGCCCTGTGGGTCGCTCCCTGGCCGAGGATGGAATTCCTGCTGCAGAGGCTGCGCACAGCTTCACAGCGCAGTGCTCAACCCCTTGCGCCAGCAGGGAGGCCCCGTGTTCTGGCTTCTTGAGGTAGAAACTTAAACCTTTCTTCTCTGAACGCAGGCGTTGGCTGTGAGTCCCCTGGGCCTGGCCATCGCTGCATCCTCGTCGGCGCAAAATAGCTTTAAGACCCCCGAGTGACTTGCTGGATTCCTCCGTTATTTAGAATCCCTTTGCCTGGTTTGTGGGCACCCGAGGCTTTCTCGAGCAGTGCCAGTGGACCCAGTCCGGATGGAGGCCGAGGTGTCCGAGGCGCGTGCTCCGCCCTCGCACTGCGCTGCCCCAGCAGCAGGCCAGGGAGGCGTGTGCTGAGCCCCGGCGTTCTGTCCCCTGTAGCCTGCGCGCTGCTGCTCCGTGGTCCGCGCTGCCGCAGCTGCCTGGTGGCAGAGCCTCTGCCATGGGCCCCGCCCAGCCCCGCGGGCTCCCTGGCCTGCACCAGCCGAGCTTGGAGCTGCCTTGCTCCTTCGGCTCACCGCCCTTTCCTGCCCTCGCCCTAGGGAGGTGGAGTGCAGTTAGTTGTCGCCTCCCTGCGGGCTTCGTCCTTTCCCGCCACCCCTAGGGCCCCTTGCTGTTCAGAATCCTGTTCTAGCTGCCTTCAGGGCCGCCTCTTTGAGGTGTTTTCTGCCTCGGGGTGCCCCAAGGCCTTGCAGACTCGGACGCCCCACTGCCCCGTCCTTGCACACCCCGCTGTGGCCATCCGGAGCCCAGGTGGGGGGGGCCCTGCTCAGTGCGCACCGTGATGCCGGCCTGGCGGCTCGAGGCCTGGCGGCTCGAGGACTGTCCGTGCTCTGCGCCCTCCCGGGGAGCGCCGTCAGCAGTGCTGCCGCTTAGCCCCTGGCTTAGCCCCTGCAGGTCAGCGAGCAGCCTTGTGAGGAGAGGAGGGAGGGAGGGAGGGGCCGTCCTGCTCCGACTCCTCGGCACACGCTGGATTCTTCGGCCCCCTGAAGGCTTGTGGCTGCACTTGGAAGTCACCGTGGCTGCCTTGTGCACTCGGGGCGCTTACGCTGGGTCTCCCTCTGGCGCTGCCGCTGCCCCGGGCCCTGCTCCTGCCGTGGCTTCCAGACCGCTGGCTCAGAGGAGGCCGTTTTGTTTCTCTGCTGTGCCCGCACGCTGGGATCCTGTGACCCAGCTGTGAGAGCCGCCCGCAGCCCGGCCTGGCCGCCGGTGGCCCTGGCGCCTCTGCCCGCGTCTCAGCCCGGCGTCGCCCGAGCGGGGTTCTGGATGCTGACTCTTCTCGTGGCCACAGGTTCCCCTGCGCTCCCCGAAGCAGTGGCGGGCCCGTGTTCTGCCTGTGTCCCCTCGGCCGTGCCGTGTGCGGCCTGCTCACTGGCCCACGGCGCTTCCCTGGCTCCGCGCCGAGGTGTGGGCTGTGGGGCTGCTTCTGAGAGGTGACCACAGGGTCGTCCGCCAGCAGCCCAGCTCTGGCCAGCCAGACCCGGTTCCAGTTTGCCTCTGCTGTGACGTCCCTGCGACCTCACCATCTCGACCTGGCAGCCATGGCCTTCGCCATGGCCGGTCAGCTGGCGGACACGCTGGGTGTGCTCCCATGCCCCGAGGTCCAGCGGGTGGTGGGGGCTTTTGGATCGGGGCAGGGAGTGCCAGCGGGGGGCTGGTTCTGGGCTGACTGGGCAGCTGTGTGATGAGGGTCGCGGCGTGCTGGCCTCCTGCTGCTGTTCCGGGCTGGCCCTGGGCCAAGCATCCCCATGGACGGGGCTGGCCTGCGCGCATCCTCTAGGCCTCAGCTGCTGCGAAACGTCACCTTCAGTGGTTTCTGAATCCTACTTTGGTGACATCCGGCGAGTGCGTTTCCTCTGCCCTGCGCCCTCGGACGGGCCTTCAGGCCTTGACTTGCTGTCCCTGGGCTTCTGGTTCTTAGGGTCACCTGTGCGGGGAGCGCGGGGTGGGGGGAGCTTACAGAAAGGGCACTGCCTCTATGGGGCCTCCCCCCACCCAGCTGTTCGCACGCCCATCCCACTGGGCGTGACACTGCCTTGCCTGTCAGCCTCCATGCCAGCTCGTCCACCTTGGCAACTGTCGGCAACAAGTCCAGCCCTGGCTGCTCCTGGGGGCCCATGAGGCCCTGCCGGGCACCCCGCTCCTTCCCATCAAACCACTTTCCTGTGCATCCTTAAAGCCACAGACTCCACAGCAGAGAGCGAGCCCCAGGGTCAGACGTGCCCCTTGGGGTGCCTCTCGTGGCTGAGTGCCATGGACAGGTGGGGTCGCTGTGCCCCCTCCTGCTGCCTGCCTGGCTCGGCGCCTCAGCGGTGCGGGCACGGGTGAGGGGCTGACCGCCCCCTCCCGCACCCCCCCAGCCCCTGTGCCTGTCCCTGCCTGGGAGGCGGGATGGGCGTGGGCCACCCCGCTTTCTGCTGACGGGTGGACTCCTGTCGCTCTGTCCCCTCAGGCTACCTGTCTTGCTGCCGCTTCCTAGACGACAACCAGATTGTCACCAGCTCGGGAGACACCACCTGGTAAGCGCCTGCCCCGCCCCACGCTCACTAACCCGCGACTGGGGTCCTGACGCCTGGGCACAGGAGGCTGAGAGTGCCAGGGGGGCTGGGTCCCTCCCTCCTGCCCATGTCACCGGTTCAGTCTATGCTTACAGCCCTTGGGAGGCAGTGCTTGGGCCCCCTGTGCAGCTCACCCCTGGCAAGTGCCCACCTCGGCCTCAAAATGTGTGTCAGGTTCCCCAGCGGGCCAGGGGCCCGCAGCCCCAGAGTCCTCACCTCGGGGAGCAGAGCCATGTACCGCTGGGCCCGTTTCTGCGGCCCGTGTGCCCACAACAGGCCCTCAGAGAGGGATGACTCTGTCCTGTGCTCCTGCCGCAGTGCCCTGTGGGACATCGAGACTGGCCAGCAGACCACCACCTTCACTGGACACACTGGGGACGTGATGAGCCTCTCTCTCGCCCCGGACACCAGACTGTTTGTCTCCGGTGCGTGCGACGCCTCTGCCAAACTGTGGGACGTGCGAGAAGGGATGTGCCGGCAGACCTTCACCGGCCACGAGTCGGACATCAACGCCATCTGCGTGAGTCCCCTGCCCCCCTCCCGGGGCCACCAGCCGGCCTGGAGCCTCGTGCTTTCAGGCCTGGACGTGCTCTCCTCACGCACAGGAGAGCACAGAGCCCCTGCGGGAGCGCCTACCTGGCCCTCGTGCCGGGGGCCTCTGTCAGCCCCTCCCAGGCTGAGGGGGTGTGTCACGTGGGCTCCTCACCGTGGAGCTTCCCGCTATCGGGGTGCCACTAGTGCCGTGACCCACCAGTCTGGGCGAGGGGCCGAACCTGGAGCGGGGCCTCAAGGACCCCAGCCCCACGGCCCTGTACAGTGGGCTGGGGGGGGGGGCCTGTGTCCACAGCAATGCTCTCCCGGGAGCTGCGCGGCCTCTGGGGCACCCCACTCCGGGCGTGGCCTGCCCCTTCCGGTCTTGTGGCTGCTGCCTGTGCCTGTCCCCACCGGCTTCCTCTCTCCAGTTCTTCCCCAACGGCAACGCGTTCGCCACTGGCTCGGACGACGCCACCTGCAGGCTGTTCGACCTCCGCGCCGACCAGGAGCTCATGACCTACTCCCACGACAACATCATCTGCGGCATCACCTCCGTCTCCTTCTCCAAGAGCGGCCGCCTCCTCCTCGCCGGGTACGACGACTTCAACTGCAACGTGTGGGACGCGCTCAAGGCCGACAGGGCAGGTAGGTGGCGCGGCCTCGCCTGGGGGCTGCTGAGCTCGCAGCACCCTTGCGCACCTGCCCTCTGGATCACTGTCGTGGCGTCTGCCCGGCTCCCACCCAGCGCACGCGGTGCCCCAGCCGGCCGAGGAGCAGCGTGTGGGGTGTGCGCTCTGCATGGGTAGCAGCTCCGCCGGGCCGAGGAGCGGACGCCAGGGGCCTGGGGGGCGCGGGGGAAGGGCCGTTCGGGCGCTTTGGACAGAGGAACTTGCTGCCCCTTTCTCCACTGCCAGCTCCCAGAGGCTCTGCCCACGGTCCCGTGGCCGCGCCGCCTTGCAGGCCGGGGACTCCAGCTGGGGCTGTGGGCTGCGCACCCTCTGTCCTGGGCCGGGCTGGTGGGAATGAAGGCAGGAGGGGCTGGTTCTTGAAAACGGTCCTCAGAGCAGCCTTGCAAAGACAGCCCAGCTTCTGGTGACCCGGGCACCGCCTTCGGGGCGCCCATGGGAGGCCGGGTCCCAGTGCGGGTCACTGTGGCCGTCTCACGGCCCTCGCTGTTGGCCCTGGCCCACCTGAGCTGGGCTTCAGGCGCCACAGAGGCTGAAGAGTGGCCGTGGCCTCCCTGGTGACTGACCGCCCAGGAGTGGGGGGCCGGGCCCAGGCCCACGTGGGGTCCGTGCTTTGATTACGCCTGTGTGCTGTTTGGACATGTCCTCGGCGCAGTGGGGTGTCCCAGTTGTGAGGAGGGGCGCCTGGTCCCTGCCCCCGTGGGGACAGGTGAGGCCTCTGTGCCCTTTCCGTGGGGCTCCCTCCCAGCTCTGCAGGCCCCTCCAGGCCCGGAGTGACTTTGCGCCCCGCTGCACAGGTGTGTTGGCCGGACACGACAACCGCGTCAGCTGCCTGGGGGTGACCGACGACGGGATGGCCGTGGCCACGGGGTCCTGGGACAGCTTCCTCAAGATCTGGAACTAGGCGGGCAGGTAGGCCCCGTGCCCTGCCCTGCGTGTGCCTGGGCGGCGGGCCGCGGGTGGGCGCTAGGCTGGTTGTGGGTGTGGCGTTGACGGGGCCACCCCGCGGGGCCCGGCCGCGGACGCCATCGTCCTCCCATCGCGAGCTGTTTGAATCCGCAGGTAGACGCCGCGGTGAGCGCAAGAGCGATCGCCTTTGCAAGCACCCCACTAACGCGGATGCCCTGCCTCTCCCCTCAGAACTCCAGCGGGGCAGCCTCTCTCCTCCACTCACTGCTGACACCAAGAGCACAATCCGGCGCGAGAGGACGGCGAAAGGCCGCGGGTTGTGCGCTCCTCCCGGGACCACCGTCTTTCCTCCTCTGTCTTGACTATAACGAAGCAAGTACCATAATAAAAAATGTTCACGAGGTGCCCGAGTGTAATTGTGAGACGGGGGCCTCCCGCCGGCCGCGCCCGAGGTCAGGGCTGTCCCGCGCTCGGCCCCGCGCTCCGGCCGCGTCTGGCGGGGCTGGAGACCCTCCTCTTCCCGTTCAGGCCTCCCCTCCGTGCGCAGCAGCCGCGCGGAGACGGCCTCGCATTCAGCTCCACCGCTGCCATGTCCCTCTCGTCTCTGGCCGGCCGCTGCTCGCCCGCGCGGAGGGCGCCTCCCCCGTGGTCCACCCGCCTGGGCCTCCCTCCCCCCCCCACCCCCCGCCCCCCCACCCCCCCGCCCTTCAGAGGCCCTCGGGTGTGGAGGCAGCGTGCAGACCCCACTGGGCTCACCAAGCTAGACCCCGAATGCCCGGTGGTGCCGCCAGCGGTGCCCTCAGAGCCGCGCGCTGCAGAGCGCGGGGGCGCTAGGCCGTCCCGCGCATCCCCGCCGGTCAGGAAGCGACCTCCCCGCACTTGCTGCCGGCCCGGGCGCCGGGCTCCCCGCCGCAGGCTCCGCGGCTGTTCATGAGCAGCCGCCCCGGAGGGCGGCCGGGGTGGGCGCGGAGCCTGGCCTCCTGCGCTGACCGGGCCGTGGATCCTTTCCCCACACTGGAGCCCGCCGTCCCGGCCGCGCTGCGGCAGCATCGTGGCTTCTGGGCCCCGCGCCCCCCCTTCCTGTGCGATCCGTGCTGTGCCCACCGCAGGCCTGGAGTGGCAGCGTCTGCGCCGCATCCCCCCCTAGAGCTCGGCGCCCCCCTTTTGTATTTAATTTCCAAGTCAGCGTGCGCGAGGGAGCTGGACACAGGTGGACACTGCCCACCGCACTGTACTTGCAACGTAATAAAGCAGTTTGCCGTGAGGCTCTGCGGTGGCTGCTTCTTTGCCGGCTTGTGCTTCCTGGCGGTGGCGTCTGCCAGCACGCTCTGGCGCCCAGCGTCCAGGAAGGGCCTCAGGCTGCGGGGCGGCCCCGGGCAGGATGGTGCCCGCTCTCCAACGTGGGCCTGAGCCCCCTGGAGTCCAGCCGCGTCCGCCGGGCGGCTCCAGAGCGGTCACTGTCCTGCCAGGAACGGGCGCTGAAAGCAGAAGGGACACGCGTCCTCCGGCGGGTGGGCGGTGTCCTGGTGGGGGGCAGGGGCAGCCTGGCGCCCGGCCACACTGCGCCGGCCTGGGAGGGACTGGGGGTGCTGCAGGCCCGCCTTGGTGGTCTCCGCCGCCTCTGGACGCCCCCTGGCCTCAGCCCCGACCCCTCACCCAGCCTTGCTGCCCCCCCAGTTGCCCAGCGGCCCCAGTCCATCTGCAGGCGTGTCCTCCCCCCTCTGCCAGCCGGGATCCCCGCCCCCGCCCTCCCAGGCCCCCTTCCCTGGGGCTCCTCTGACGCCAGTAAGGGCCGGGCCGCCGGGACTGCTCGGTGAGCGGCCTCTGCTCCGGCGTGAAACGGGGACAGCAGCTCCCGGGGCGCGGTGAGGGCCCCATGAACGCCACAGCCGGGGCCCCTCCCGCTCTCGGAGGCCCCTGCCCAGCCAGTCCCTTCCCGGGCCCTTCTGGGGACCCTGGCGAGAACCGGCCTCCTGCGGGAAGGCTCGGCCTGCCCCGCCCCCAAGCCGACCCCGCCAGAGGGGGCTCGGGGGGCTCGGGAGGGGGACGAGGGGGGCGGCCTCCCGCAGCCGGACACTGTCCGCTGGGGCTCTCGCGCCCCCCCCCCCGCAGCGCAGCCCCCCGGGGCAGAGGGCAGGCCCGGCGGCCCCCAGGCGCCCCCTGCCGCGCGCCGCAGCCCCGCGGGCGCCGGGAGCTGCTCCGCTCCCGCCGCGGTCCCCTCTGCCCTCGAAGGGCGGGGCCTGGGTGTTGGGGCGCGAGGCTTGAATAACGGGGGAGCCGCACTTACGAAAGGGCGCGAGGCCCCGGCGCCGCAAGGGGCGGGGGCGCGGCCGCGGGGCGGGGGGGGGGGGCGGCGCGGCCAGAGGCGGGCCCGTCCATCCGGCGCCGCCCGCGCTTCCTCGCGGCGCTTCCGCGCGGCCGCGCCCCCGCGGGCCTCCCCGGCGGGCAGGGCAGGGCGGGCCGGGCGCGGGCCGGGCGGTCGGAGGGCGCCCCGGCCCTTCGCGTCTCTGAAATGGGGCGCGCCCTGGCCCGGCGGGGGCTGCCGGCCCGCCCTGCGGGGCCCCGGGGGGCCGGCGGTCCCCGCTGACCGCACGCGGAAGGCGGCTCCGGGCGTGGCCGCCCCGCCCGGGGAAGCGCCGGACGTCACGGGCTTGAGAAACCCCCGGTTCCCCTGGGCCCGCCGCCGGGGCCGCCTCGTCGGGGCGCGGGCTCCGCAGGTGAGGCTGGGCCCCCGGGCCGGGCCCGCGCGAGCGGGCGGCGGCCGCGGCCGCAGGGCTTGGGGGCCGGGGCGGGGCGGGGGCGGCTGGCGGGCGCCGGGCCCCCCACCCCGCTGCAGCCCGCGGGGGGCGGCGGGGCCGGCAGGTCCCCCTCGAGGCCCCGGGCGGCCGGGCGCGGCGGCTCCGGTCCCCCAAGCATTTCGCTTGAGGCCACACCCCGGGAATCACAAATCCCGGCGGGTGGCGCCCCCTCGCGAGCCGCCACGCGCCCCGCCCATCCGGCCGCGGGCGGGAGTCGGGGCCACGGGCTGGGGCGGCCGCCAGCGCCCGCCGACGGGGCCGGGGCCGCCGGGCGCAGGCGCGGAGTCGGGGCCCGCCGGGCGCAGGCGCGGAGTCGGGGCCGCCGGGCGCAGGCGCGGAGTCGGGGCCGCCGGGCGCAGGCGCGGAGTCGGGGCGCGCCTGCGCGGGGCGGGCCGCGCCTGCGCACTGGGCGGCCCTGCTGCTCGGCGGCGCCGGCGCCGCGGTCGGGCGCCGAGGGGCGGGGGCGACCATGGAGCGGGGGGCGGCCGCCGCGCCGGGCGCCGGCTAGTGACGGCGAGCGGCGGCGGGGCCCGCGGGCCCGGCCCGGCCCGGGGGCGGCCCCACGAGCGCCCGCGGGAGCGAGCGGTGAGTGCGCGCGGCTGGGGGTGCCGGGGGCGGGGCGCGGGCGCCGGCCGCACCCCGACCCCGGCGGCGGCCTCTCCCCGACGGGGCCCGGGGCCGCCCGCGCGGGGGTCTCGGGCCGCGCCCCCGGAAACCGCGCTGGGGGCGTCCCCGGGCCGCCTGCCGCCCCGGCGCGCACCCCGGTCAGCCGCGGGCCGGGCGCGACAGGTGGCCTCGGGGGGCGGCCCCCGCCCCGGCGCTGCGGCCGGGCTGCGCGGCGGCGGGCGCGGCCGGCCCGATTCCGCCTCTGGGCGAGGCGCCGCCTCACCTTCGCCCGGGCGCGGGGCGGGCAGGGGCGCCCGCAGGCGGCCCCCGAGCTGCGCGGCCCGCCGCTCCCCGAAGCCCTTCGGCGCGCTCCGGACTCGGGTCTCCGGTCTTTCCTCCCACTTTGCCCAGGAACTTTCCCGAAGGTATTTCTGGGGCCGGCGCACCGGGGCGGGGAAGGGGCGAGGGCGCCTGTTTCCGGCCGAGGTCAGAGGAGGACGCGTCCGCCGGCCCCCGCGCCGCCCGCCAGGCCTCCCCTCGCGGGCCTGCCCCGCGCGCCTCTTCCCGCCTCCCCCTCGGACTCCTGCCTCAGGGCCGCCTGGACTGGATCCTGAGCGCCCAGGGCGGGCGGGGCAGCTGCGGGCTTGGGTGTGCCCAGGGGCGCGCGTGGCGGGGCGCCCACGCGGCGGGCAGTGGACGGGGGCGTCCTTCCGACTTCCAGGAAAGCGCTTTACAGGCTCCGACCCAGTTGCCAGGCCACGGGGCGCCCCTTGGGCTCTGTAAGGAGCCCCAGTCCTGGAGGCAGAGGAGGGGGCTGTGTGGGCGGCTGGGCAGCCCAGGGCAGGCCCATCGCGGGACCTTGACAGTGTTTCTGGGGGTGTCGCCGGCCTGGGGAGCAGCAAATGGCATGGGGTGACCTCTTGGTTCGGACCCAACACACAGACTTGAAGCGACCGGGAGTCCAGATTCACTGTTGTCGCGACGCACTGACAAGCCCAAGAAGCTGCTTACGGTTGAGCCTGGCCACTTCCCTGGCGCTGCCCATGTGGTCAGCCCCGGCCGCGGGTGTCAGCGGGCGCAGCTCCCACGTGTTGTATAGCGGGAACCCCCCCTTGATGACGTGGGGGCCACAGGCTGAGCCCCTCAGGGCCTAGAGGTCCCAGGCCCGTTACAGTGGCCGTCAGGGTGGCTGTGTCGCTTGCAGGGACTGCGCCCCACCAGCAAGTGACTGAGACAGGGACTCGGCCCTGGCAGGACAGCTGGCGCGACGTGTGGGGGGCTGTGCTGGCACCAATGCTCGGCCCTCCGCTGCGGGCAGTGCCCAGTAGCTGACGCGGGGACGCCCTGGCCTTGGCAATCTTGCCCAAAATAGCTAGGGGAGCTTCCGCCACACCCGCCCTTCCTGGGCTGTCCTGTCCCTGGTCACGCCTTAGCTCATCATGAGACGCGGCAGCCGGGTGGTGGGCCAGGTGGTTTGGGCTGCAGCCGGGCCGTGGGTGCCCACCGACCTCCCCTCCCGGCCAGGGTGGGAAGCCTCCGTGTGGAGGGGCGGCTCCCCTGGCCCGCTCTCCCCTTCCTGGCCCCTTTGCTCCCTGACTCCTGCAGCCGCCTCGGGGCCTGCGCTGCTGTGCAGTTTACTGTTCCCTGGCACAAAGCTCAGCATGTCGCCCCGTGTGCAGGGCCCAGCGCTCAGTATTCCTGGGCCCATGGCGTTCGCACTTGCACCTCGGCTTCGCCGGCCCTGGGCCTCGTCTGGGGTGGGAACGCGTGTCTTCTGGCTGTTTGACTTCTGCTCCTCTGGGCTCATCGAAGACTACAGCCGGGGGGCAACAATCCCTGTGCCCCCTGCGCATGCCCCCTTGCACGCGTCCACTCTGCACCCGCACGCTCATGACTTGATCCCGTTCACTCCAGGCGTCGGGGTTGGTCTGACCTAGGGCCTTGCCCGCCCACTGTGGACATGGAGCCGGAACCCGTGAGCCTGAGCAGGGAGCTGAGCGCCGGCCCGGCCCCCGACCGCTGCTCGGCCTGCCATGGGGATGAGGACTGGGGGCCTGACCACTCCATGCGGAGGCGCCCCAAGGCCCGCAGCCTGTCGGCCGCGCCCGCCCTGGCGGGCGCCAAGGAGTTCAGGTAGGGCAGGGCCCAGCCCCTCACCCGGGCCGGTGTCCACAGTGCCGTCCCCGCTCTGCCCGCATGGCCGGTGTGGTGTCTGCGGGGCCGGCCTATGCCCCAGGGCGGGGAGGGGCGGCCTTGCTGTTGACACGGGCGTGGGTGGTGGCTGCAGGTGCTGGTCAGCAGGTCACGCGGGCAGGGCCCTGAGGGCCTGGCGGCCAGTGCTCTTGCACAAGGTGCTTGAGTCACACCTGAGCCGGGAGCCAGCATGCCTGCCAGAGCTGGGGACCTGTCTGGCTGTCGGGGCTGCTGGTAAAATGTGCGGTGCTCGGCGGGGGGAGCCTGACCCTGCGCGGGCGGTCAGGCGGGGGTGAAGGTCCTGTCCCACGTGGGGGGATGGTGGCACCTGGCCAGGCCCGGCCTCCGCCTCGGGGCTGCTCTCCTGGGCAAGGCCATGTGTGCCCGCCTGGCGGTCGCCTCCCTGCGGGCCGGAGTGGGGAGCAGGTCCCTGGCCCCGCATGGTGTTGGGGAGGCGGGAGGTGCTCCAGGCGGGATGTGCTCCGGGAAGAGCAGAGGTCACAGAGGCGGCCAGCCTGGGCCCTGCGCCCAAGGGAGGCTGTGGGCCAGACCTCTCTGGAGGGCGGCTCCCGAGGGCTCGGCCGCCTCCGCGACAGCAGAGAAGTGTCTTGCGTGCGCGGGAGGCGGTGGTAGTCAGGGTGGCAGCCACCCGCTCTGTGAGGAGGGCCCAGAGGCCTGGGGACTGTCCTCTGTGGAGGCCTCTGGCAGGGGGTGCTGGACTTGGGGGCCGGGAAGGGCGTCCCCCGTGCCCGGCTACTCTGGTGCTAGACAGGTCAGGCCGGCCGGGCCGTTCTGTTCACAAGACACGGCCGGAAGCAGCGTCTGCTGGGACGTGCGTCCAGGTTCTGGGTCTTGGCCCCATGTGTGACCCCAGACCGGGCTGGCAGGGATGTGGGCTAGGGCCCGCACCTGCCCTGGTCTGAGGGGCCCGTCCTGGGAGGGGTGGGGGGTCTCAATGTGGACCTGGATGTTGCTGCTGCTGCCGCAGGACAGAGTGACCGCACGTAGCAAACAGAGCAGAGTCTGGGGCTGCTGTGGACACGGGCGCCGCTGAGCTGCTGCCATTCGGGCTAAAATGTGGTGAGCAGCTCAGCTCAGAGCTGGGCCCCCAGCACGTGCCTGGCGCTGACTCTGCCTTTTGCCTGCAGGAGGACCCGCTCTCTGCATGGACCCTGCCCGGTGACCACCTTTGGACCAAAGGCCTGTGTGCTTCAGAACCCCCAGACCATCATGTGAGTGTGGGGCCTCGGGGCTGTGGCCGGCAGGGAGACTGGCCATGAGTCTGCCTGGTGGGCCGGGGGAGGCACAGGCCCCATGGGTCAGGGCTTCGGTTCAGGGTCACTTGGAAGGACGGCTCTGGGAAAAGCCGACGCGTCCCGCATAGGCTCGCCGCTAGACCGGGTCCTTCCCGCTGGTCTGGGAAGGCGGAGGCGCTGACAGCCTCAGCCTGTGGGTCTGCAGGGCCCCTCGGGAGCCGCCACCGCCTGCGTTTGCTGCCACCGCGTGGCTGCCCTCCACACTCCTGCCCCCCAGTCCCCCCACGGGTCCAGCCGTCGAGGGGTCCTCACTCACCGTAGTCAGGCCCCCCGGGTCAAGGTCGCTGCCTGTGCTGGGTGGGTCCCGGCCCCACCCTGCTCTCGCCGCTGTCCATCCCAGGCCGCCCCGCACGCGTCTGCCCCGCCCTCTGGTGCCCGGCCGCCCCGACCACGGCCTGCCTGGCGCCTGCTCCCTGCACCCCAGCTTCCTGCTGGCTCCGGCCCTGGCTTGATCTCCTACTGCCGCCTCCCTACACTCTCTGGCCTTGACAGCGCCACCCTCCCATCACGTGCTAGCTGAGATGCCTCCCCGGGACCTCTCACCGTCCTGTTGTCAGGCCCGCCACGCCCTGTGCTGTGGGGTGCTGTGGGGTGGAGTCGGCCTGTGAACTGGGGTGGGAGACCTCAGGCTGCCTGGGGCGGCTCCCCGTGGCCAGCCTGGGTGGCTCGGCGTGGAGGCAGCCAGTGGCTGCTGAGCTCCCTAGCTCCCTGCACCCCCCGGGGCCCTTGGCCAGGACTCATCCCCCACGTGCTCCGTGGCACCTTAGCTGTGGGGCTTTGAGGGCCGGGCCTCGTGGCCTCGTGTTTCCTTGAGGCTTAAAACTGAGACGCGGGTGGTGCTGAAGGCTGCGAGCGGGCGTCCGGGCCTAACCGAGCTCTGGAAGCGCGGGCTGGCTTGAGCTGAAACACGTGGGACTGCCCAGTCTGGGGTCTGCAGCCTCGATGTCCGGCCGGGCGTCCCTGCAGCCCCCAGCTGGAGCCCCTGGCAGGGCCGCTTCCTGCTGGGCGGGCGGTCCCTTGGGAGGCAGCCTGAGTGGCTTCGAGTTCTGCTTCTTGGAGGCCGGTTGTCCACTGACTCAGCTGCCTGCCATCTCCCGGGCCTGCGGCCAAGCAGAGTAGCCACATGAGGCCTCTGCCTGATGGCCGTGCCGACCGGTTCCGCAGCCCCGTGTGGCTCCTCCGCAGCCTGTGCGGACCCGCCTCTGCTTGTGGACGCTGCTCCAGACCTCCCCTGTGGCCAGTGGGCCAGGAGGCGAAAGGGCTTGCGGGTGGTGAGGGTGGATGCGGTCTGCCCTTTGGGCATGGCCTGGTCACACCACTGTCTGCCTCGGCGGCAGGGGGGTGGCAGGGTGGTGGTGGTTGCGCAGCAGGTGCTGGGTCTGGGGCAATGCCCGGCCTGCATGGAGGTTGCTCGTGTGTACCCCTTGCACCCTGAGGGGTGACAGTCTGTCCTGTGGGCCGGTTGGACATCAGCCGTTCGCCTGCGTGAACCCTGTTCTGAATGTCCCGAGCTGGGTTGACAGTCCTCAGGCGCTGGCCCTCGTGGCAGGCTCAGAGGGCGCCCTGGGCGCTGGCTCAGAGAGCAGGTCCACCGTGGCCCACAGCTGGGGGCGAGCTGCCCGTGACCCTGCCCCAGCTGTCCAGGGACTGAGTCAGTGCCCTCAGGGAGGGCCCTGCGGGCTCCCTTCTTTAGTGGACTCTTACCTGCACGGTGTCCTGGGCAGGGACCCCCGAGTGCGGGGCTCAGGGACCTGTGGGGTCAGCAGCCCATGCGCTCTGGCTGCTGCTGCTGTGCGGCTTCACGGCCCCGACTGACGGCCAGGGGGGAGCCTGGGGTCATGGCACTGTCCATGCGGGAGTCGAGGTGGCTGTGCCCCACAGTGGCATGTCCCGGGCGGGGTCCCCACCGGCATGGGCAGCTGAGCCTCTTGGTGGCGCCTCGGTCCAGGGCCCAGGAGCCCGCATCAGGTGCCCGACCTGGGGAGTAGCCCTTGCCTAAGGCCGCCGTCCCTGCCCAGGCACATCCAGGACCCCGCCAGCCAGCGGCTAACCTGGAACAAGGCGCCGAAGAGCGTCCTGGTCATCAAGAAGATCCGGGACGCCAGCCTGCTGCAGCCCTTCAAGGAGCTGTGTGTGCACCTGATGGAGGTGCGTGAGCCTGGCGGGCGCGGGCCCCTCCTGGGGGCAGGGCTGACCTCGGTCCTTGCAGGAGACCAACATGGTTGTGTACGTGGAGAAGAAAGTGCTGGAAGACCCGGCCATAGTGAGTGATGAGGACTTTGGGCCCGTGAAGAAGAAATTCTGCACCTTCAGGGAAGGCGAGTGTCCTGGGGACCCCGCCCTGCCCCCCATCCTGCCTCCCAGCCCTTGCCCCGCCCCCGGCAGTGCCCCGCCCCCTGCTGTCCCCAGCCCTGCCCCCCCAGTTTCCGGTGCCACGGTGTCTTGTGCGCTTTTCGCCCTCAGACTATGATGACATCTCCAACCAGATTGACTTCATCATCTGCCTGGGTGGGGACGGCACCCTGCTCTACGCGTCCTCGCTCTTCCAGGTGGGGCCAGCCCAGCTCTGCTGACCACCCATCTGTCACTTTCCGTCTTTGGGGCTGGGGTGGGTTCTCGGGTGACGACGCCCTGACGCTCAGGGATGATGGGGGGGGCGGAGAGGGGCGGGTGGCCATCAGGCCCTGGTAGGAGGGCTTTGCCCACTGCTTGGAGGGTCCCGAGAGTGGTGCAGGTGCAGGCCTGGTGGGGGTGGGGGCCCTGGGACTGCCCCCACCTGCTGGCTGCCCCCGCCCCCCCAAGCCCCTTGGGGGCTCTCTGCCTGCCCAGAACCTGCAGCTCCAGGGCCCCTGGCCAGCTCCGAGAGCCTGCCCACTGGGTGGGGACAGCGGGCGAGTGGCCTAGGCCCAGGGACGGCCCTAAGCGCTGCACCCCCTTGCAGGGCAGCGTACCACCGGTCATGGCCTTCCACCTGGGCTCCCTGGGATTTCTCACGCCCTTCAGCTTCGCCAGCTTCCGCTCCCAGGTTGCGCAGGTGATACAGGGTGAGTCAGAACACTCTGGAGCCCGGAGCGGCTCTGGGCACACTCGGCCCACTAGGTGGGGGTTCAGGGCGGGGCGCTGCCGGGCGTCCTGGGTCTGGGCTCCTAGCTCTGGTCCAAGCGGTGGTTTCACGAAGTCCGGCCAGTCACAGTGGAAGCCCCCGTGGGGTGCAGACACGCCTGGGCTCACGGAAGGCGGGAAAGTGGCTTGATTTGGGGGTGGGGCTCTAGTCAGGGGTTGTGCCCTGCCGGGTCCCGCCTGCTGACCCCGCGGCGGCCCGCGGCCCAGGGAACGCGGCTGTCGTTCTCCGGAGCCGCCTGAAGGTGCGGGTGGCGAAGGAGCCGCGCGGCAGGAAGGCGGCCGTCCCCAACGGCGTCCGTGAGAACGGGGCCCCGGCGTCCAGCCCCGATGCCGACGCCGAGGCTGGGAAGCAGGTCATGCAGTACCAGGTGTGTCCCTGTCCTGTCTGCCTGCGCCTGTGGCCTGGGGGTGGATGAGCCCCGGCAGAGCCCCTCAGGGGCATCCCAGCGAGCACGCGCTCTGCTGGCCTCGTCTCAGGTCCTGAACGAGGTGGTGATCGACAGGGGCCCCTCCTCCTACCTGTCCAACGTGGACGTCTACCTGGACGGGCACCTCATAACTACTGTGCAGGGTGACGGTAGGTGGGCATTGGGCCGGCCGGGTGCCCAGGGTCAGGGTGGCAGGGCTGGAGAGTGGCTGACCCCTCCCCCGCAGGCGTGATCGTCTCCACCCCCACGGGCAGCACAGCCTATGCAGCCGCAGCCGGGGCCTCCATGATCCACCCCAACGTGCCAGCCATCATGATCACGCCCATCTGCCCCCACTCGCTGTCTTTCCGGCCCATCGTGGTTCCCGCAGGAGTCGAGCTGAAGGTCTGACCCCAGCCCTCCTGTGCCCCTGGGCATGGGGCTGGCCCATGCCAACTCAGGGCGCGGTGGGTGGAGCAGCTTAACTGGGTCGCTGAACCGGGTCCCTGTCCTCGGCTCCCAGGCTGTGCAGGCAGGACCCCAGGTCTAGTCGCCCCAGGCCATGTTGGGTGCTGTGCCACCCTCTCGGGTGGGGTCTGAGCTGGCTTATGTCTCCACTGCCAGCCTGTCCCCCAGAACAAGGACTTGGGGGACGGGCAGTTGGCCTGGCAGCCAGACTTGGGACCCACAACGTCCCCGACTGGCCCTTCAGATCACGCTGTCGCCAGAGGCGAGGAACACGGCCTGGGTGTCCTTTGACGGCCGGAAACGGCAGGAGATCCGCCATGGGGACAGGTGTGTGCCTGGGGGTCTTGGGTGGGCCCTCAGGCGTGCTGGGAGCTGCAGGCAGGGCTGACCGCTCCCTTGTTCCCAGCATCAGCATCACCACCTCCTGCTACCCGCTGCCCTCCATCTGCGTGCGCGAGCCCGTGAGCGACTGGTTTGAGAGCCTGGCCCAGTGCCTGCACTGGAACGTGCGCCGCCGGCAGGCGCCCTTCCCTGGAGGGGAGGAGGGCCAGGGTGGGGAGGGCTAGGCCGCCCGGCCTCCCTGCCCCGCGGGACCAGCCTGCGAGGGCCTGACCCGCAGACCAGCCCTCGGGCTCTGCGTCTGGACGCCGGCCAGGCTGGGAGCCTCCGCGGGAGACTGCGTCATCGGTCTTGGAATTCAGGGGATCAGATGGGTTCGTCTGTCCTTCGGTGTGATAATAAATGTCTCGTAGCCAAAAATCCTTCTTAGCGGCCACCCCTCCCCGGCCCCTCCCCGATACTGGTGGATGGTGCCGCGGGCCAGGCCGCAGGCAGCAGCCCGTGCAGGCCACTCACATTCCTCACACCCCGGAAGGTATTTTAGATTCTATGTCTACTTTTTAGAGATTCTTTTAAACTTTCTGAAGTGCTTACGTACAGATTTTATTGTACACACTTTGCAGACTTGGGGGAGGGCGCATGCCGCCGGCCGGCTGGGACCAAGCGGGAGGGCTGTCCTCTGGGGCGGCGCCATGTCCCCGCTATTCCTCTGGCCTGGCCCAGGCTGCGGCGGTGTGTGGGCAGCGGGCACGCCTTCTCCCGGGAAGCGCAGGACGGTGTCCCTGAGGGCTGCCTGCTTGGGCTCCTGGTCCCCACGTGCCAGGCTCAGGGCCTGAGGTGCCCAGGGGCCAGGGGCTGGGCCCAGGTCCAGACGGCACTCAGACGTGTACGTGACTCCCAGTCGCTCCGAGAAGGCCCAGTAGTGCTGATCAGCCCTTGGAGCAGCATGATGTTGGAGTGATCTAGAAGACAGCTTTTTGAAGTAAATTCTTAATGTTTCATATTGTTAATATCTTGAAAATTTGTTAAATGTTGAAAACTTATCACTATTTTCAGATTCTTTCAATAAACAGATTTGTTTTAAACTTTGGGTTAAGTGACAGCTCCATCTGGAGGTTGGTGCCCAGGGCAGCTGTGTGGGCTGGGCCTCCAGACCCCAGAGATGGGCCTGCTTGGGTGCTTCCCCAATGGGCCGCACCCATACCCACAGACCCCAAGAGGGGGGACCGCTCCCACAGGAGGGGTCACAGGAGGAGTCTGGGGTGTGGCTGCTCTGGGCCTACCCTCAGCTATGTCCAGGCTGGCTTTGTGGGTCTGACGCCCCAGGTCGGAGGAGCTGGTCTTCCTCCTCCCCCAGGGCTGTTTCCTAAGGGACCACGTGGGGTCTCAGGCCTGCAAATGAGCTAAGGCTTAAATGGCCCCTGCACAATACAGGGTGAGTGTCTTTCACCCCGAAAATCTACTTAGTGAGATCAAAGGAAGAAGCTGAAACTGGAACATTTACAAGAGTCTTCAGCATGACAGAGGGAGCTGGGTCCAAGCTGGGTCGTCCCCTGAGGACGACCACCTGGGGCAGGGGACTCCACTGCCCTGTCCTGGAGGGGAGGTGTTCAGGCTGCCCCCACATCATTTCAAAATTTAAAATGTACCATCCCAAATGGAAGGTAAACATGACCTGGCTATTAGGCACACGAGAGGGCTTATACATTTGCTTCTGTAAGTGTCTGACCCCAAACCCATGGTGAGCACCGGCAGTCCCACGTGCCTGGGGTGGGGGTGGACTCTGCAGGCTCACAGTGCCCTCCTGCAGGTGCTGGCGGGCATGAGCGGGCGTCGGTGTCCTTGAGGCTGACCAGTGCTGGGGTGCGCCTTGGGGTCTCTGGCCCAGCCCCTGCGGACAGTCCCGGGAGGCTCCGCCGCCGGCCTCAGGACCGCGGGAGAAGCCCAGGCCAGCAGACCGTGTGAGAACAGTACGTCAGAACGTGGAGGAGCACAAATCCCGAAGGGAACGCCGGGCGGTTAGACGCTGTCGCAGCCTCCTCCGGGGACGCGCGGCGGGGGGCGGGTTCGGGTTCGGGTTCGGGTTCGGGGGCGCGCGTCGCTTCCCCAGGCCCAGCGGAGCGCGGGGCGGGGCGGGGCTTCGGGGCCGCCAATCAGCGGCCAGGAGGGCGTGGCCTCGGCCCGCCGTCGCGCAGCGCCCGGGTCTCCTCTACGGGAGGCCGAAATTCTGGGCCTTGAAAACCGGGCTCGGGCCGCGGCCTCCGGGGCTCGCGGGCGGGCGGGCGGGCGGGCGGGCCCCTGCCCAGCGGGGCCGCCCCGCCTGGGAGGCGCCGGCCCGCCGGGGCGCGGCGGCAGGGCCCGGGCTGCGGCGCCGGCGCGCTTCCGGCGCGCTTCCGGCGCGTCACTTCCGGGCGGCGCCGGCCGCTTCCGGCCGCGGCCCCGCCCCCCGCGCGAGCGGAGCGGAGCGGCGCGAGGGACCATGGCCGCGCCACGGTGAGGAGCCGCCGCCGCCGCCCAGCGCGGCCCAGCCCCGGCGGCCCGGCCGAGGGCGGCCGCTGTCCACGGGAGCGCCGAGTGGGCCCGCGCCGCCCGCCGCCCGCGCCCGCTCGCTGCTCTCGGGCCGCGGCCTCCGCGGCGGGCGGGGCGGGCGCGGGGCGGGCGCGGGGGCGGGCGCGGGGCGGGCGCGGGCGGGCGCGGGCGGGCGGGCGCGGCCCGGGAGCTGCAGGCGCCGCCGCCCACGGACCCGGAGGCGCGGCCGGAGGGCGCGATCGCCCGCGAGCTCCTCGCACTCGGCGGCGCGGCGCGGGCGGGATCTGGTGGGTTGGGCCGGTAGCCCGGTCCGGCCCGGGGCGCCGACCTCGTCCTCGTCCGCAGGGACGTGCGGAGCCCGCCCTGAGCGCGCGAGGCCGGGCCCCTCCTGGGCCTGCGCTGGCGCCCTCGGGCCCGCCGCCCGCCCCTGCCGGAGAAGGGCCTCCCGGAGGCGGACGCTCCGCTCAGCGAGTCTTCACGGCGACCTCGCAGGGAACGTTTTAAAGCAGAGTGAGACGCCGCTGAACGCCAGAGGCCCGTTCAGCAGAGACTAGGGAGGCGCTTCTTCAGCGCGGACGATCCGGCCCTGAGAGAAGCGGCAGCCGTCGTGCATCGGGGATCCCACCTCCCAGAGCTGACCGCGGGCCGCTCGGCCTGCTCCGAGCTGGGGGCCTGTTCGGGCCTGACCTGTTGCACGAAGGCACAGAACTCGCTCCCAGTCCGGGACAGGCGCAGTTGTGGAAAAGGGGCAGGGCTGGCACACGGCCTCCTCCATCTGCACTTGCCCGGCCTGTGTCCCAGGCCCTCACAGACCCCCTGGGCGCGTGGGTGCCCCCCAGCCCGCTAACAAAGCTGGTGGAGCATCCTCCTGGATTGCCTCCATGGGGATCTGGGGTGCATGAATTCCTGGGCCTTGAATACGGGCAGGAAGTTCTGCTGAAGGTCCAGCAGCTCCAGGCCTCCTCACCAGTGTTTGAGGGAATCAGTTCTGCAGCCAGGATTCCTCACCCAGGCCGCTGGCCTAGCCCTGGGGGGTCTGAGCCACAGACATCCTTCTGCCGCCACTGTGGGCTATAAGCAGGGGGAGGTGATTCAGACTTTTCTTTGGGACTGGGGTGCAGCCCAAGCTCTGGGGGCCCCACATTTAGCCCTTGGACAGAACTGGGTGTGTTAGCTGGTAAAAGTCCATTTTCCTGTGTCAGCTTAGAGCGACTGACCTTCAGTCCTTTGCAGAACAGGAACTGCTTTTGCTGAAAACTGGGCCCACAGTTGGAACACCCCAGAGGCCGTGTGCTGGTAGCCAGGACCCTGCCTTGGTGAGTGGCCCCAGAGCTCAGTGCCGAGCGCCCTGCCCTGACTCTCCTGGCCCAGCGCAACTGCTCCAGGCCCACCGCTCCTGGAGGGGGGTCTGCTGGGGCTTGAACCTCAGGGTAGTCGCCTGTGACCTGCTGGAGCTGCGTGACCAGCAGTGTTGAAGGGACTGCGGAGCGCACGGTGTCAGCCCCGCACCTGTGCGAGCCCCAGCTGCGTGCCTTCTCCCACATGCCGGGGCGGGCGGCAACTCTCCTTTTGGGCCTGCACACTTGGGGTGGCCTCGGGGTGCACTGCGGGTTGCGGGGACGCAGGGGCTCTCCTTTAAGAGGAAGTGGGCTTCGTTCCCAAGCGCCATGCCGTGCTGGCTAGCTCCCTAGCCAGGGGGACCACCTCCAACCGGGCCCCACTCTTGGCTCTCCCAGTCCTGCTCTGTGGGCCCAGCAGTCAGGTGCTATCGCTGGCTTGACTGTCCTCGGACCTTGGACTCACTAGCGACAGCGAGGACGCAGGGAGGCCATGTTTGCGAGGGGGTTCAGAACGACTCGCTGCCTTCTTGGGTGTTCCCTCACCCCTGCTGGCCGGCTCCGGTGCCAGGTGGGTGCCAGTGGGGGCAGTGCCCAGGAGTGGCGAGAGAAGGGGTCCACAGTCCCTCCAGCCTCCTGAGGCGGGGTCAGGCCGCTGTACTGCAGGTGCCTCCCACAGAGCCCTGACCTTCGACCAAGGCTGCCCATAGGCAGCAGCCAGACCAAGCAGCTACACCCACGCGTCGCAGGGAACCTCCCATCCTGGCCGTCCCCATGGACATGTGGCTCCTGCGCTTGGTGTCCGTCCTTCGCCCTGGCTTCCCAAGGGCGTCCCCTCATGCCTGCCCCCCTCCCTCAAGCACTTCCTTTTTCTCTGGCCCACTGACGCCCCAGCTCTGGAATCTTCCCTTTCTCTAAGGAGGCTGTGCCTCCAGTGAGTATGAGTCAGGTGACGGGGCATACCTGGTGCTGGGCGGAGGTGGGGCAGGGGAGAGGGCTGCATCAGGCCCACCCCTTCCTATCCGTTGTCCAGTGAGCCCGCGGGGGGCACAAGACACCCACCACCGGCTGCCTGCCCTTAGCTTGCTGTCTTTGTGGCCATCTAGGCCCTGGAGAGCCTCGGACCCCTCTGCGGGCACTTGTGCAGGGGACACAACGCGCTCGTTCTGCCTGCTTCCGGGCGCCCGTCACGCTGGACTCGGGGTCCCCTGCCCAGCATTCGCTCCCAGAGATGCTTGGGTCCCGGCCCCCACGCATGGTCGTGCGAAGCTCGGCTTTTGTCCTGCGTGGCGAGTGGGTGCTGCCGGGCACTATCAGGGCCACCGCCTGCCTCCTGCCCCCATGGCCTCCACCTCTGTGAACTTCGATCTTTGCTCTTTGCTCCATCTGGAGCTGTCTCTGTGGGGAGCCAGCTTGTGGCTGCAAGGCCTTGGCAGGCCGAGCCCCAGCCTGTTCAGAAGGCCCCCGAAGGTGTGCCCTGAGGCTGGTGTGGACCCAGGCCCCGGGGAGGGGGTGCAAGCCAGAGGGGACCCAGGTGAGGGGGAAGCAGAAGTCAAGGAAAAGGAAGGATGCGCCTCTAAGCTGCTCCTTCTGCTGAGCTCCCCTTCCTTGGATGTGCCGGGGCTACGGCGCACCCTCATTTTTCAGGCGGGGCCGGGGCTCCGGGACATGCTCAGGTGCCGAGCCTCTTCGTTTGGCAGAGGGCGGGTGGGCAGTGCCAGGGCCAGGCCAGCAGTGAGGTGACTGCCCAGCAGGTGGGCGGCCTCTGACCCCTGTGTGGACATCATAAATGTCCTAAGGACATGAAATGTGCCCATGGGTCACCTGTGTCCTCTGCTTGCCTTCCAGCCTGTGCGTCGGAGCTGCCTCCCGCCTGCCCTGGCTCGGGGCCCGGGGTCCATGTGGTCCCACTCAGGGGTAAAGACGTCTTGGACGTGGCCTCGGCATGTCGGCCGCGCCGGCCCCCAGCCCCGAGGAGAAGCCCCGCGGGACGCTGCCACTGGGCTGGGCCTCACTCTGCAGCCACCATGGCGAGAAGGCAGCCGTGGCGCGGGCTGCGGGCCCGCCCGAGGAGCGCGTGCTGGCCGTCACCATCACCGAGACCACGGTCATCGAGTCGGACCTGGGCGCGTGGAGCTCCCGGGCACTGCTCTACCTCACCCTGTGGTTCTTCTTCAGCTTCTGCACCCTCTTCCTCAACAAGTACATCCTGTCCCTGCTGGAGGGGGAGCCCAGCATGCTGGGTGAGGGCCGTGCCGGGGGTGGGGGGAGAGGGGGGGGCGAGGGCACCTCCCCGCTTCCCAGGTTGGCGGCCCCGCAGTCACACGCGCGGCGCCCCAGGTGCGGTGCAGATGCTGTCCACCACGCTCATCGGCTGCGTCAAGATCTTCGTCCCCTGCTGTCTGTACCAGCACAAGCTGCGGCTCTCCTACCCGCCCAACTTCGTCACCACCATGCTGTTTGTGGGGCTCATGAGGTCAGAGTTGGCTCCCCAGCGTCTCTGGCCAACAGCCCTGGGGGTTAGGGGGCCTGCTGGGCTCGGGGGCACCTGGTCAGGCTCTCTCTAGAACAACACGACACCCCCAGTGCTGCGACGCCAAGTGCCCTCGGGTGTGCCCCGCCCCTGGGGCCCACCACGGTGCTGAAGCGAGGCTCCCGCTGCCTTCAGGTTCGCCACTGTGGTTCTGGGCCTGGTCAGCCTGAAAAACGTGGCAGTGTCGTTTGCTGAGACCGTGAAGAGCTCGGCCCCCATCTTCACGGTGATCATGTCCCGGATGATCCTGGGGGAGTACACCGGTGAGCCCCTCGCCCCCGCGTCCCTGCGGTGTCCCTGCACCTGCCACGGCCTGGGCGGCAGGGAGGGGCGGGCACCCTCGGTGCCCCAAGGTCAGGGAGCTGGGTGGGCAGGGCTCACTCTCGCCCGGCCCGGAGGCCCCGCCCTGTCACACTCGCTGGCGACGCTCCCTGCCCTTGTTCCCCACGGCCCAGCGCCCCAGGGCATCAGGGGTGGACGCTGCGGCCACTCGCTTCTCTAGCCGAGATCTTGATGGGATTCGAGAGAAACACGTATTGGGGGGGCCTGGGAAGAAGACCGGCTCTGGGCATGGGGGGCCCTGAGGTTGCCCACGGGGCAGCTTCTCCTTCCTGGAGGGGGAAATGGCTGCGTGCAGCTCTTGCTGCGGTTTCCACTTCCCGTCACCTGATGGTGTGCCGGGCGCAGGCCGGGCTGTGTGGGCCCGGTGGCCTCTGCCCCCGCCTGCGGCTGGCCACGTGCTGGGCAGCTGTGCCCCGTGGTGGGACGAGCAGTTTGGTTTGCTTTTTACCGAACATGAAGGCTTGTGCCCGCGGCCGCTGGAGTCCGGCCTGAGCCCGGGCGCCATGGCCAGCAGGTCCTCCCGCACAGGGACACGCCTCTAAGCCGCTCCTTCTCGAGCTCCCCTTCCTTGGACGCATCGGGGGCTACGGCGTACCCTCGTTTTTCAGGCGGGGCCAGGGCGCCGGGACATGCGCAGGTGCTGAGCCTCCTCGCCTGGCAGGCAGAGGGCATGATGCAGACTTCGGCTATTGCGCATCCCTTGACCGCCCCGGGCAGGCGCTGGCCTCTGAAAGCTGGCCAGGCTGCCCAGGCCCGCGAGCCCTGAGCGCTGCGCTGTGCGCCCCCAGGCTTGCTGGTGCACCTGTCCCTGCTGCCGGTCATGGGCGGGCTCGCGCTCTGCACCGCCACCGAGGCGAGCTTCAACGTGTTGGGCTTCTCCGCGGCCTTGTCCACCAACATCATGGACTGGTGAGTGGTGTGTGCTGCCCGGAGGGCTGTGCTCTTGCCGCCCGCCCAGAGCGGCCGCGGTCACCCTCTTCCCACCCAGGGAGCAGCGAGCCACTCTCAGGCATGCCTGGCCTAAGGCTAGGGCGGCCCCCTGACCAGTCGGGGCGCACAGGGCAGGGCACCCGCATTCAGGGCTCCCCGTTGGTGCCGGCGCCACAGGCTGGACGCATGAGCAGCCCCACCCGGGCTCTGGTGATCCAGAACGTAGGGAACGTCTTGTGACCTGAGTCTCTGTCGGAATCTCTGACAGTTCCTTAGCGAGACTTCAGCAGGCCGCGGAGCTGGGGCTTTCCTGTAGGGCCCCCAGGGCTTCTGAAATACTGCTCTGGCTGCTCGTCCCGCCGGGACCTTTCTGGCTGACGTGCGTGCACGCGCTCCGGACTGCCGTCCCTGCCCCTCAACTGGGCCTCCCGCTGGGGCGGCCTGCGGTGAGGGGCCCTGAGGGTGGGGTGTGCACAGCAGGGACTTTGGGGCAGAGCCAGGATGCCTGGAGGAGGGACTGCGGCCAGGATCAGCATGTGATGTCCTGTTTTCTGGTCCAGTTTACAGAACGTCTTCTCTAAAAAGCTGCTCAGTGGGGACAAGTACCGGTTCTCGTAAGTCCCGGGCCCTTGGGGCCAACACCGCCATGGGCCGGGCCCCCTCCAGCTCGGCTTCCGTGACCTGGACAGGCCTTCCTGGGCCTGGGAAGGAGGAAGCTCCTTCCTGCCGGGGGCCAGGCCCCCATCCCAGCTGGGTGGGGCCTCCTGTCACACTCCTGGGCCTGCCCCCGTCTGGGCCGCTGAGGACCCCACGGGGGAGGGTCAGCGTGTCTGTCCCGCAGGGCCGTGGAGCTGCAGTTCTACACCAGCGCCTCGGCCGTGGCCATGCTCGTCCCCGCCTGGATCTTTTTCATGGTGAGTCTCCCGCCGCATTCAGCCACTTGGTGAGGCGTCGGTGCGGAACAGTCGCCGCGCAGCCACGGCTCCAGCTCTGCTCTGCCCTAGGACTTGCCCGTCATCGGCAGGAGTGGGCGGAGCTTCCACTACACGCAGGACATGGTGCTGCTGCTGCTGGCGGACGGCGTGCTGTTCCACCTGCAGAGCGTCACGGCCTATGCCCTCATGGGGAAGATCTCCCCGGTGACCTTCAGGTGAGCCCGCTTCTGGCCCAGGGCGACCCGCCGCCTGCAGAGCAGACCTCCCGTCTGGGTGTTCGGGGAGACGCCCACCTCCCCGTAGTCTGTGCTGTTGGAGACGTGGGCGTCTCTGTCTGGCACAGTCCTGCGGCGACGGGCCTTGTGCTCTGCCACCGAGGGGGGTGCCACCAGGGGCCCTGCTCTCATGCCACTGCAGCGCACCTGAGCCCGAGGCTCCGCGGGGACTGTGGTGCTGTCACGCATGTCTCTTAGCAGACGGGGGATTCCCAGTTTCCCTGAAACCTTGTTTTTCAGTCAGTGTCAGTGATGGTTTGAAAAAAGACAAAAAACCCACTTTTTATAAAATAATTTTTTTTTTTTTTTTTGGGTTTTCTTCTTCAAGCAACAGTGCCTAGTCACTGTCGAGAGCTTGGGAAAGGGCAAAACGCGCAAAAATAGGCCGTGGCGAGTCAGCTTGTGTCCCCCCCACCGCAGCCCGCCCCGCTCCGCCGCTGTGTCCCCTCTGGGGCTGGGAGGGCCGGGGCACCCGAGGCCAGTTTCCTCCTCGACAGCCACTGGCCCTGGAGGTGTCACGTCTTGGCTGTGCCGGTTGCTGTGAAATGCCCAGTTAAAGGGCGCGGCAGGAGGGCAGAGCGCTCACCGCAGGGCCCTGGGGCGGGGTGGGGGATCCCCCATTGGTGAGCATCCTTGCTTCTGTGTGGTAGACACTCCCCGGCAAGAAAGGCGGGACTGGGGGGGGGGGAGGCAGCTGGGGAGCGAGTCCCGGGAGCCCCTGCTGCCCCCAGGGCGGTGCGCACCACAGCTGTGACCCCACCGCCTCTGCTGCAGCGTGGCCAGCACCGTGAAGCACGCCTTGTCCATCTGGCTCAGCGTCATAGTCTTTGGCAACAGAGTCACTAGCCTGTCGGCCATCGGCACCGTCCTGGTCACCGTCGGCGTCCTGCTCTACAACAAGGCCAAGCAGCACCAGCGCGAGGCCATTCAGAGCCTAGCCGCTGCCGGCAGCCAGACACCGGAGGGCGACCTGGAGCCCCTGGTGCCCAAAGACCCCAGACCGCACCACTGAGCCTGAGCAGCCCCGGGGACCCCTGCTCCCCTCCTGGGTTTCCCTCAAAACCAGAGGAAACCCAAGTCAGGGGTCCCACATATCCGCTTCCGGGGGCTGTGGGGCACTGGCCTGGGGAGGTCGACCCCTACCTTGACAACCCCCCTCACCACCCAGGCCTGTCAGTCCCGAATCCACTGGGGAACCACCACTAGGGGCGACTGAAGGGGAGCAGGGTCGGATTGCTGCGCAGCAGGAGCCACTCCCCAAGAGCCATCAAGGCCCGCAGGCACATCCCACCCCCATCAGGGTCCACGCGCATGTCCTCGCGCCCCTACACCCCAGAGCTGCCAGCGCCGGCCCACCTGGGGAGGCTCCTGCCGGGCTCCAGCGAGACCCTCTGCTCTTCCTGACTTAGAGCCTCAGACACCGGAGTGTGTCCTGGGTGTGGGGGTGCCCGACCGCCCCTGTGGCTTGTGTGAAAGCCTCTTCCCCCGCCTGCCTTCCCTCAGAGGGTCATGAGTGGCCGTAGGAAGAGCGTTCAGCCTCTTGGCTGTGTCTAGAGTGATGATGAGTTTCACAAAGGAAACTGGCAGCAACGGCTCTGGGATGTCAGCCCAGCAGGCCTCCCTCGCAGCCTCCAGCCCACTGGGCTGGCACTCCCTGCCAGACCCGCCCCCCGGGGTGGACGGCTGTCCCGTCAGGTCAAGGCCTCCATCCTCCTCGCGCTAGTCCTCAGCTCACACCTTGACAGGGTTTCGAGGACTAGTCCACCAAGGCTGGGCTGGTCTCTGGGGCCAGGATGCACCCTGGCTGGCTGACGCCCTTCTGTGGGACCAAGTGGACTATTGGAAAACTGCTTGACCCAGCCAGCCCGAGGTAGCCCTCCTGGTGTGCACCATCCTTTATTTTGCTGGGTTCTTGGTTTGTCAACTGGACAATGGAAGAGTGGCCCCCTGCAGGCCCTGGCCTGTGAGGAGCAGAGCTGAGGTCACACCCAGCAAATTCTACCTGAAAAGTTTGCCAAGAGGCTGAGCCACCTGAGGCCTTGAAGCTACCAGCGGGCCTTCGGGGCCTCCCTCATGCAGAGGACATGGCCTGCTCCTGTCCCAGCCTCTTTCCTGCCCTGCCAGAGACAAGCCTGGAAGGGGTCACAGCGGGTGGTGGATGTCAGGTGGCCTATGAGGACCAGAGCCACTCAGGCTTCGCAGCTGCACTGGACGGAAATGGCAGTGAGGCCTCGGGTGGACATAGGACACTGCTCCCAGAGCCCCACAGTCGCAGGCAGCTTCCAGACAGTTCATTTTCTAAAATTTTGGACCAGAAACTATGATTTTCTTCAGTTATTTCTAAATGAGTCAATTTCTGGCTAAAGTGGTTTGGAGACTTCTGGGTCGGGGGTGAGGAGGCCCCTGAGTTCTACCCCAGCCCCCCTGCCGAGCTGGCATTGCGCGTGCCACACCATGCCCATCCCAGCTCATCTGCTTGCAAGCACTTCCTGGAGAGCCCTGCACTGAGTGGACATGAGTCCGGGCGTGGTCAGTGGTGTAGGCAGGACACGGCTGGCTGACCTGTGGCTGGGAGGCTGGGCCTTCCCGACACACCTGCAGCAGCTCTCGCTCTCCGCCTCCACCCCACGGGCACCTCGGCTTTCAAGGACAACGCCAAGGTGCAGGCCTGAAGCGCAGCGGTTCTGGGGCCCCGGTGCCCTGTGAATCCGCCATGAGCGGGCGGCGCTGCGGACCTTTGCACAGCTCGAGGCGCCAGAGCAGGAGACGCGGCACAGGAGAGCGAACGCCGCTCGAGGACCGCAGGGGCCCCATGCTGCTCGCCTGCCTGGGCGCGACCCCTACGTCTGGGGCGATGGCCGCCCAGGCTCTCAGGCTGCCGGGGCGGTGGGCGGGGGGCAGTTGAGCGATGACGCCCTGGGCCACCTGCCCCTCGGGGCTTCCCCAAGCGCGTCTCCAGGCGCCGCTGGAGCCTCTCCTTCCCCCCTTCCCAGCTCCCGCTGCGCGTCTCCAAAGTCGCCCCCGGCCTTCCTGGGGGATCCGATTCAGGTTCATGACCGCGGGGGTCAGCCCTGTGTCCACCCTGACTCAGAAACTGGCTTCTGTTTTCGTTGGGGGAGGAGTTTGGGGCGTCCGGCGGGCGAGCCGTCCGGAGTGAGCGGGGCCGGCCCCGCCCCGCGCCGCTCTGTCGGAGCCGAGCCCCGGCGGCCCCCCGCGCGGGGAGTGAACGCGTCGGGGCCTTCCCAGGCGTTCGGCCTCCTCTCCCCGCGTCCTGCGGGGCGGTGCTTCCTCGGGGGCGGGGAGTCACCTCGCGCTGCTGGGGCCGGGCGGCGGCGCCCCCCGGTCTCCGCGGCGCCCGAGCCCTGGGGGGAGACCCGCGGCGCGGCGCCGGGAACCCACGCGCTCGGCGGCAGCCCGCGGGCCGCTCCGGGAGGGGCGACGCGCCCGCACCCCACGTCAGGCCCGAGCCGCGCGGGCACGTTTTCCGCCGCAGGGCCGGGCACTGGCGAGGGCGCGCCCGGCCCGGGCGGCGCTCGCGGGCGCCTCGACCTCCCCGGGCCTCAGTCCCGGCGGCCCGAGCGTCACAGCCGGCCCCGGCCAGGGGTGCGCGAGCAGGCGGGTCCCCGCCAGCGCGGGGCGGGGCGCGGGGGGCGGGGCCGGGCTCCCTCCCAGAGCCGCGGGGCGCTCCCGGCCTCGGACCCGCCTCGCCTCGCCGCCCGTCGTCCTCCAGCATCCGGGACGGAAGTGACGCGGAGCGCCGGGCGCGAGCTCCCCCGCGCGCGTCATCAGTGGGCGCCGTGCAGGAAGTGACGTCGCTCCTGGCGCGCGCCGGGCGCTGTTTCTGCTCAGGCTCCGGGACCGGCGGCGGCGGCGGCGGCGGCGCAGGGGTGAGTCGCGGCGGGCGGGCCGGGCGCGGCGTGGCGGGGCGCCCTCGGGTTCGGATCCCAGCGGCCTCGGGGCCCCGCTGCCGGCGACCCCCTCGCTCCCTAGCCCGCCTGCCCGGCGCGGACCTGGGGCTTGAGAAGGCGGCGCGCGGAACTGGGGCTCCGAGCCCCGCGTCGGGCCGGGGGGCGGCGGGGCGCGGGGCCGGGGCGCGGGGTGGCGGGGCCGGGGCCGGGCGCGGGGGCGGCGGGTCGCCGAGGCCGGGCGCCCACTGACCGCCGCTCTCCCCGCAGTGTCGACTCCAATGGGTGATGAAAAGGACTCTTGGAAAGTGAAAACTTTAGATGAAATTCTCCAGGAGAAGAAACGACGGAAGGAACAGGAGGAGAAAGCAGAGATTAAACGCTTAAAAAATGTAAGCCATGTTTTTTAAGTAAGTGGTTTTCTTAAAGGAGATTTAATTTCTTTGCCCTATTTTTCCATTAGAACAACGCTTCTTCGGTGAAGTTCTTTTGTACTTCCAAATGTCGCAGGTGAGCCCAAAATCTATTCTAAAAATTAACAAAAAGCATTGAGATACTCAGTTTACATGGAGACAGGTTGATAACATACTAAAGCCGTATCTAGATGACGTTGTCTATTCCCAGGGTAAAGGATCTTGAACTTAGTCATGCTCGCAGTGAAACTAATGTTTCTCATTCCGCTGTTAGTGTGTTTGTGTCATCGCAGTTACTTTAGTGTAGTTGCAGTTTCAGTGACTGTTCATGTTCTCCATCGTTCTTGGTTTGCGTAATAACACACTCAAACAACTGCGCAGTGGTTTGATAAGGGGCATTGGAAGTACCTGGTGCTAAGATCAGTAGTGGTCACTTCAGGTGTAAGTGCTGTGTGAGCTGTCCAAGTATGTGGACTAGGAATTATCCTCTACGGCTCCACGTGGACTCACACAAACAACTAACACCCTTGCGTAGTCTAACGCCTCCTGTCCCTGCTGGTGTTATCTCTCTCGTCTCAGGCTCTGGGTTACAGAGTCGTAATTTTAATGTCGTGGGATTTGCATAAGGAGTTTCTTTTACGATATTGGCCCATTCAAAGTACATGCCAAAGTTTGGTTTTGGATATTGGCAAGGTTTGATGATCACTAAAATACCCTATGAAGAAAATGAGTAACTTTCTCTTTGCTTCCTAGTCTGATGACCGGGATTCCAAGCGGGATTCCCTTGAGGAGGGGGAGCTGAGGGACCACCGCATGGAGATTACAATAAGGAACTCTCCTTACAGAAGAGAGGACTCCATGGAAGACAGGTGAGAGACGTGCCTGGCTGCAGAAATCGCTAAGGAGGCAGCCTGGCACTGGGTTTGGGTCATCCTCGCACGGACATGGACTCTCGGCTCACCCCTTTTCTCAGGGAAAGACTGAATGAGCGTGTGTTCCTTTTTGTGATTATTGTTCAGTCAAGTCTGCACCATTTATATAGTATTTGTGAGTGCCTGTGTTGTGTGGTTGTGATGACAAAATTTTGCACAAGTAAACCCAAGTTGATTGCTGAAAAAGAGCCAAGCAGGGGCATGGAGCACAGCAGCCGGCCCAGGCCTGTGTTTTCTGGTGTTTCCCCTGTGCCGTGGTATCACTTTGTTTCCTCCCTGTTCTGTCAGGGGATTAAAGGCTACATCACTAGAAATTCAGGTAGACTGATAGGGAGTGAATTCTCCCAGGGTTTTGTCATGTCTAGGTGAAGATGGTGTTAAATGATATTTTTTTTTTTTTTTTTTTTTTTTAGTTTTAAATTATTTATTTATTTATGCATACAAGAACTGGGGTACAGGCCAGAGGTTTTGGGGTGTGAGAGGATTCCCCAGAGACAGAGCAGGGAGCAGAACAGGTGGATCCACTGAAATACACTGCTGAGGGTAGCGGCGGGGAGACAGGAGAGGTCTGCTGTGCCCTGTGGGCAGCTCCCTGGCCCGGGATCGAACTCATGCTGCAGTGGCTGGTGATAGCTTGATAGCACTTAGACTTTAACTCCTGCACCATCAAGGAGGCTCCTAAGTAATCTTTTGATAGCATGAAGTAAAATTAAAATTTTGGTATCTCTTCATTAATAGCTTTGTTGAGGTATGCTTCTGTGTTTAAAAAGTGCAGATTAATGCATGTTTAAAATACCTATGAGACTGTAATTGTCAGAGTAATGAACATGCCTATCACCACCAGTTTTCTCAGAGAAGTATTTTTATTCCATATACCTCATTGATTCTCACAGGTATTTTTCATCGGAGGGTATATTTAACATACAGTTTTGGGTTAAGCTTTGTAATTAATGTATTTTTCAATAGCGGATTAGATTCAGTTTTTCATATTCTGGATTCTGTGTTTTCTGGCCTGAGGAAACTTTAATGTCCTCATGCGTCTTTTTTATTTTTCATTTTTACTATTTTTAAGATTTTTTACTTATTTACACAAGAACCGGGGTACAGGCCAGATGCATGGGAGGGCGAGAGGATTCACTGGAGACAGTGGGGAACAGAACAGGCAGACTGACTGAAATATACTGCTGAGGGGAGCAGCGGGCGAGACAGGAGAGGTCTGTGCGCCATGTGGGACCCTCGCCGGCCCGCCGGGATCGAACCTGCGCTGCAGAGGCTGCGGACAGCTTCACAGCGCTGTGCTCAACCGCCTGCGCCACCAGGGAAGGCCCACCCTGATGCGTCTTAACATGATTTTCTCAAGGGCACTGTGATGCTGTTGTGTCTTATTTCAGAGGAGAGGAAGATGATTCTTTGGCTATCAAACCACCCCAGCAAATGTCTCGGAAAGAAAAGGCTCATCACAGGAAAGATGAAAAGAGAAAAGAGAAGCGTCGGCATCGCAGTCATTCAGCAGAAGGAGGTACAGAACGTGTGTTTTCTCCTGCCGTGTGCATGTGTGATTTGCGTCCTGTGCTCTAAAGAAGAGACAGTAAAGCGATAGCCAGAGGCAGGCGTCATTCTAGGGTTCTCTGAATGACGGTGTCTCATGCCTCCTGGGGCACCTCTCCTTACCGCTTTGTTTCGTGGTAGCTTGTTTACACCTAAAATCCTAATTCAACAAATAACAGGGGAGTACATCTTTCAGTGCTAAACTACTTTAGGGAAAAGACAAATGTTTGAATGAACAAATACTGCTTTGCTCTCACCCCAGCCTCAGGAGCATTTTCGGGGTGTTGGGAAACTGAACCTGGAGTCTCACTGCAGTCTCATCACTGCAAATGCACTTGATGGACATGGCCTACAGCGTGGCCTCGAAGGGGGCTAAGCTGCCTCTGTTTTGTGTTGTGAGACTTAATGGCGTCTGGTTGTGATTCACTCGCTACAGAAAATTTTAATTCTTTTCTGAGATAACAACATGGTATTTTTTCCCCTTACAAGCCATTTATTAAACATTTCTTCTCCACTGGGCCTTTTCTAGTTAAGTGCTTGGCGGTTACGTTTTGTTGCCTGACACTTGTAATTGCTCGTCAGGGAAGCACGCTAGAGTGAAAGAGAAAGAGAGAGAGCACGAGCGTCGGAAGCGACATCGAGAAGAACAGGATAAAGCCCGCCGGGAGTGGGAGAGGCAGAAGAGGCGGGAGATGGCACGGGAACATTCCAGGAGAGAGAGGTAAGGGGCTGGGTAGTTGAAGAGCTGCAGTGCGGTGCCTGTGGTGGTCAGTGCCCCATCCCATCCAGGCAGTGGCAGAGACTGACTCTGACAGCAGGCGAGAACTGGGTTGCATACGACACAGCGTCCTTGAGCAGTGCCACGTCCCTCTAAGTGTGGGGCGCTGTTAAGCAGAAGTCACTGCCCAGAGGGAGTGAGTCTCCTGAGGAGTGTGAGTGTGGTTGAGAGGAGACAGGGAAGGGAACAGAAACGTGTGCGGAGCCTGGAGCTGCTCAGGCCAAAGGAA